ATACTAAAACACACACACACACACTCTCCCCCCCCCCCCCCAATCTCCTCTCTCTGTCTATCTATCTCTCTAACAAAAATCAAAATATGCAAGTAACACATACAATGCGGCATTTTTAGACTATGAGGGTTTTCAGATGAGAGAAGATACGTACGTGCCGCACTAGACTGAAATGGTTGAATGTTTGAAGTTGAACTAAGAATCAACATCACAGCACTCGGGACACTCGAATAAGCTCTCCGTCACCATCTTCAGCAGCAAGCGAAGAGTTGCAATTGTGGTACCAGTAACTGCCTGGTTGAACGTCTGTCTCACACTAGACTTGGAGGCTGCGTTCAACGGAGTACAATTTGACAACCTGGTGCACATACATCTCCTACACGATATATATCTCTTCGTTGTCCGCTGGCTATCTGCAGCACTGCTCCAGAGTACTCACTTGAGGTTGCTGGTCCTTAGAACTTATACAATTTGTCCAGAATAGTCCGAAGGTCTCCAGTGTCACTCACTGTCTCCAGTTCTTTTCATTGTGTATGCGGTGCTGATAATTCAGCAACAGTTGAATACGACCGACATGACTGCCATTTTGCAGATGACATCTTGAACTATCAGCTTAGAAGAGGTAGTCAGGAGGTTTCCAATGCATTGACAGCGAACTTAGTACAATACCCTAGATCATCAGTCTTGACCCACCCCCATTTGACTACAGGTTACTTCGTAAATGTTGTTTGGTGCTCCAGTATTAATGTCCTGTATGGTTTTATATGTTTTACCCTGGCAATCTAAAAGGTGGTTGAAAGCTGAGGTCCTTAGCCATGTGGATGTGGAAAGTAAGGGGAGACTACCACATTAGAAATTCCTAGAAACTTTGAACTAAAGCCGATGAAGAACCTGTGACACCGCAGCTGCAAGAGAGTTCAAGTAAATATTTTGAGATCACTTATTTTTTTCCTTGGCAGTTTACGGATGTGACTCTTACTTCAATATTACCCAAAAGCATGTCGTAGAAGTCTACTATTTGGGGGCTTCCTTTGAAGTCGGAGTGTGTCTTCCTGAGAGGTAAGGAACCAAATGAGTCAAATCTGTACCATGGCCAAAGAAAAACACTTACATCCTGCATGATCTGAGCATCCAGGAGGATTGGCTCAAAAACAGCATCCTGTCCTGAAATCTAAAGTATTTTGACCATAAGTTAAATGTCAGGGTAGCCTGAAGAGACCAGTGACGCAGGTTAGTTTCTGGAAAACAAGACACACCCCCACGAATGTGGATACAATACATTGAAGTTGACTGGCTGTGAAAGCACAAAGTTAAGGAGAATCAGCTAGAGAAAGAGACTCACAGGCGTGCTGTGACGAGACCAATGTTCTGCAAAGTACCTGCTGATTGATGATGACGATATGGATATAACCATTGAACACGGTTTACAGGATTTGTACCTGTTCGATTCTCATACATGAGATGTCAATCCAACAGGCTGTAATTCCAGAGGGAAAAACTTTTCAAAACAAGCCAGTAGTACAGTTCTAACATACTACCTCATGAAACATGACACGTTTGGCAGTTTTCTGTTTTTCTTGAAATTTGAATGTTGAATTAAGAATTGATATCACAGCACTCGGAACACTCCCATAAGTGCTCAGTCCCCATCTTCAGTAGCAAGCGAAGAATTCCACCATCTTTCTCGATGTTACTGTAACTTATATTGTGTGCTGTGTTCAACAAACAAAAAAACTCTTCCACAATTAGAGCATAACATTTCAATATCATTGTTACCATGTATTTTACCTGTTTCTTCTCAGACAATACTATAAACAACTATAATAAAGAGGCAAGAGGCAGCCCTAGGAGAATATGGATTGATGACATTAAAGAGCTTCTACACTGACAAGGAAGGACAAGAGCTAATACTGCCCACTAAGCAATGGTTCACAAACTGTTCCTACCCACAATTCCTAATGGCAGAAGTGGAAATTGATGACGATGAAGAAAGAGGCAGTCAGTGTTCTTCAGTCACCTGATTAGAAGAGCAGCATTGGAGACCATTGTGAGGAGTGGAGAGATCAACGGTAGAAGAGGTAGAGCCAGAAAAATGATGTTTGACAGCCCGAAGCAATGGCATGGAGAAGTATCATCAGTGGAATTGCTTCAGAGAACCAAGGACCAAAATCTGTGCAGAGATATGAGTGACTATGCTGCCTGGCATGGCACATGATGATGATGGTGATTCTCAGGCAGAGACATCTCCAACAAAACATCTAGCCAGGCAATAAACCCACCCAACTGTACCAGTTGTAGTCTCACTTTCTTTCGCATTTTCAGTCTTCTTCCTCTTCTTCGTAAGTTCTGGTTATGTCATCCTCTTTTGGACTTTAGTCTTGTTCCAGAATTTGAATTTTGTATACACATCCGTTTTACAGTTCTGGATTATTTGTATACAGACTGCTGGTTCTTTACCTCTAAGGCAAGTGACTTGAAAGGAAACACCCCTAATCTGTCACCTCCTATAACATACTTGTTTGAAAACACAATGAATCCATGAGGGTAATTCTGGCATGTACAAGAGACCCCGGTACTATGTATGTGATCTATACTTGCACTGCTGACTATTGCAAACAGGTTCGAAGTGCTGCAAGCACAGTCATATTTCAGAGTAGCTGCAGACAAGAAGCCTGAACCCTGGGTAGAGCTAAGGATCACAGACTGAGAATATGAAGGTCTTTGATGGCAGAGGCGGAAGACACAATTAGACACCTGTGCAGGTTTGATAACATTGTACAAGGAGAGGAGTAAGTAGGTGAAACTGTCTGAGCACACAATCAGATTTGTGTAGGGTTCTATTAATACTGGTGCGTGAGTGCAGGGACTGGCCAGCTGGTGCTGCAGAATCAGAGGTGCAACAAATTATTCATGACAATTCTCGCCCAGGTGATATGATTATCTATACAGAGGGCTCTGTTTTGAGAGACAGCCGAAGTTAATGGGAGTTCTTAGCAAAAGCAAATCGATATCACTTAGTGCAACAAAGCCTGGCCTATGATCCCACATCTAGTCTGAGAATGGAGGCAGTCACTGCAGCCTTCTGCTGGCCTGAGAAGCAGATGTGCACACGTCATAATTGTAACTGACTGACAGAGCATGTTGAGAAATGGGAGACAGGTATGCGCCATGCAGAGTGGCAAGCACCACCTTCAGAGGTCCTGGTCAGTTATCATCCTATAAATATTTTCTGCAGGATATGCTGGCATGTTGGGAAATGAATAGGCAAAATGACTGGCTAGTTCTGCACAACATGGTGCACAACCTAGATATCATAACAGCCCTCTGGGGGTGAGTGGACAGCAGTGCAGAAGCACAGTTGGATCATCATGGTTGAAGAAGTATGAAGCTGTGGGGAGTGACCTGGGTATCTCGCCCGTGCTCAAAACTAAATGAAAAGGACTCTAAAGGCATGCTGAGAAAGGTGAAGACAGGGATGCTTAGAGCAGAGTGGCAAGTTTCCCTGGGAAGGTCACGGGTGGTGAGCATACTATGGATCTTTTTTCCGGGCGATGCCAGTGTAGTGGGTAATAAACAGGCAGATAGACTGGCTGGATCTGCACCACTGGGTGGTGAATTGAATACATGACAAGGCAGATGTGGTCAAGGCCCTTTGGGAACAAGCAACGGAATCGGTAGAGAAACAGGATTATTATGGCCTGGAGAGAATGAGGCACCTGGGTGTAACCAGAGGGTCTTGCCGGCTCACTACCCTCAGAGGAGAGGCAAGACGGACATATAACCAGATTGTGACTGGTACCATCAGTATTGGAACTCTGCGCTGGCTGCTGAAGATGAGGACGCAGCACACATGGGAATGCCCCGAGTGTTGTGATGTCAATTCCTGACTCAACTCAACTTAAACGAAAAGGTGAGACAGATATACAATCACAGTCACCATGGGAATTGAAACTCTGTATGAAGTGCTTATTCAAATCTCCCCAGTGTTGTAATATCAATTCAAAGCAGATGACCCAAATAATTAACCACACAACAGCCAATCAATTCAAGGGTTTGCTAACGATGCTCCGAAAAGGATGTGCATTAAATGTATATATAAACTACAGTGACACTCCGTTTCATCCTGGAAAACAATTTTAACTGACACAACACAAATGACCTCTCCCACCATTAATCACATTTCCTCCAGGTCTGTGCTCTCTTACACACTTAACATTTTAAGTTAATCATTTAAAAATTTGTACTATAAACATTCATGAACATCTGAAACAAGATCTGTTAAAAACTGCTTTATTTACATAAACCTGAACATGTCACCAGCTAATGTCACCTGTCAAAAACAAAACAATTGTTTCATACATCAAAGGACAGGTTTTAATCTTCACCCAGGTTAAAGGATGGTTTCTACTGGACAGAAAATACAATTCTTCGGGGGTGGTGACCTAACGAGTGAGTGACTTGGGCAAACGACCTATTAATTTGTTTGGTCCCAAGAAACTCACAATAGGTTCATTAATTATTCTTTATTACTCTGTAATTTATTTTATTCTATTCATCTGTTATGTTAACCTATTCTACCCCAATGGTCAAACCCCTTCTGTCCTAAAGTTGTACTTTTCAATCTGATCAGACTAAAAAAACAGAAGGGACCAAATGAGTTAAGAGGGTGATCTTTCTCCTTAGACATCACTTAGTGCAACAAAGTCTGGCATATGATAGCACATCTAGCTTGAGAATGGAGGTGGAGGCAGTCACTGCAGCCTTCTGCTGGCCTGAAAAGCAGCTGTGCACACGTCATAATTTTAAACAGAAGGGATCAAAAGAGTTAGGAGAATATGAGAATGATCTTTAATCCTTGAAGTTCTCAAGGCAGGCCAAGAAATGGGACAAAATGCCTTCACTATCAATTTTTGACTGTTCTAGGCCACACACAATCTTGTTTCCTCTTTTCCGCTACATCTACATTTGCTGTACTACTCCCACTGCCTTGTAAATCAGTGCTATGATTTCTCTGTCTTTGTCAGTACTTTCTTTGCTTGCTGCTGTCGTCTTGCATCTAAATAACGACGGAAGGATCTCTCACCAGGGTCTTGGTCTGCATCATCTGTGTTGACAAAAAGGTTATATAGATTCAAACATCAAAAGTTCATAAACTAATAATAACAGGCATAGAAAGAAATGTGTGCAGACGACATATATATGGGTCAGAGAACAGGAAATTGTGTGTGTGCATATTACAAATAGTAACAACTCTACCTTCTTCTTCACTTCCTCTTCCACCACTTGGGGCATTGAAGGATGTAATTCCTTGACGGCCGGATATGGATAATAATACTTATTGTATAAACAATGGCATACAAATCAGCCCAGCCTACAATATAACCTCAAGTATTAAGCTCAAAATTCTGAGTATGGCCTATATTTTCCAAACAAAATTTCTACTGGCCATATAAGTCGACCCCTTGTTTTGGAAAGACCGATTTAGTTGTTTTTTTACTGGTTCGGTCTCCCAAATGCCCAGCCTGGCCACCTGACAACTTGGAGGATATTACATTGGTAATCCAGACTGAACGGGAAAACCGCCGGGTATGAGTTTTTTTAGAGTGGCTCTTGCCGATTGGGTTTAACCCGTGACTTGGTTGTGACTGATCTTGGTCCTCTTAGCCAGACCAGTACAGCAAAGCTACACTTTGATCTTAGTCAAAAGGCCAAGAAGCGACTTTAAAAACTTGACTTGCATGCCACAATCTACAGTAATTGGCTACTGCTACTTCCATGCCTGCTTGCTTGTTGTACCCCACCAGGACATCACACAAGCGATAAACACCTGGTGACACAAAGTGCCACCATGCGGATGAGGATCACCCGTGGAGAGGTCCTAGAACCCCTTTCAGCCATTATGACACCTCTATGGCCATATCTATGCCCTGGCTTTATTCAGGGCCTCCAGCAGAAGCCAGTTTGGGGCTTCAAATAACAAAAAATTGCATCCCACATGGGAATGATGGATAATAGTTTAGTACTTCCATGGTACATGGTGTTCCTCTCAAGGCCTGTCCAAGCTTCCGGTTTTGGCAATATCAATAATTTCTGATGCAGATGTTTCTCTATATAAGATCTCTCCTGGTCCCCTCTCTGCTCCGGTTCTTCTGTAACTTTTCTGTTGCTAAAATGTACACAAGTTTTCTCTTTTCTCCATGTGACCAAAGTATTGTCTTCTGATGTGGGTAATCATAAAAACGCAATTATTTTGCTAGTTATCTGCCCATGAGTATCATCATCACCACCAACTTCCATTTCTGCCATTATCTGTTGTGGGGAGGAACAGTTTACGATCGAATGCTCCTTGGGTAGAACTGGATATTGTTATACAGCAGTCTTCTCGAAATCTTAGGTTTCTTCTTCTTTTTCTTGTCTTAAGTTTTCTTCCTCTTCTTGTCTTAAGTTTTCTTCTTTTTGTCTAAAGTTTTCTTCCTCTTCTTCTTGTCTTAAGTTTTCTTCTTTTTGTCTAAAGTTTTCTTCCTCTTCTTCTTAAGTTTTCTTCTTCTTCTTGTTTCAAGTTTTCTTCTTCTTGTCCTAAGTTTTCTTCTTCTTCTTCTTCTTGTTTTAAGTTTTCTTCTTCTTCTTCTTAAGTTTTCTTCTTCTTCTTCTTGTCTTACGTTTTCTTCTTCTTCTTCTTCTCTAAAGTTTTCTTCTTCTTCTTCTTCTTGTCTTAAGTTTTCTTCTTCTTCTTCTTCTTCTTGTTTTAAGTTTTCTTCTTCTTCTTCTTCTTCTTAAATTTTCTTCTTCTTCTTCTTCTTCTTGTTTTAAGTTTTCTTCTTCTTCTTCTTCTTCTTAAGTTTTCTTCTTCTTCTTGTCTTACGTTTTCTTCTTCTTCTTCTTCTTCTTCATCTTAGCGGTCACCACCTGTAAACTCTGGTGGAAAGTTCTGGTTGTTCATTCATTTTTGGACTTTGGTCTTGTTCAAGAACTGGGGTTTTGCATGCACATCTGTTTTACAAATCTGGCTTATATGTATGCAGACTGCTGGTTCCTTATCTCTCTGGCAGATGCATGCCGACTTCGGAGGAACTCTCCTAAATAGCCGCCTTGTGCAACAAGCTTGTAATAGAGGCAGTGAGTCTATTCCACCCCCTTCTCGAATGGGGCCCAAAACCCGCACTGGAAGGTCTCAGGTTTAAATCCACATCTAGTTTGATATGTTTGTCAATGACCTTCTCTCCCAGGTTGCCTCAGCCCAAAAGTCTATTAGGCAAAGTCCTGGGAAGCAAAGGTGATCAGTGTGATGATATCGACCCCATGACCCATCGAGGGTTGACTGGTCTATACAAATATGTGCCCTAGCATTATATACCCGTAATTCTGCTGGATTCAAAAACGTCATTTGAAAATTCTTCTCTGCAGCTTCCACATACTTTCTGACTAAAGTCTGCATACATCAGACTTGAGAAAAGCTGCCAACTTAAATAACCATTCGAGACAAAGTTAGAAATGATGTTATCAGACAGACTGTAAGCACAACACTATGAAGCAAATTCACTGAAAACTGAAGATCAAATGGTTTGGTCACTTAGTAAGAATGCAAGCAGAACAACTACAAACTCAGGCGCTACATGTGAAAAGATCTGAAGGGAAAGCAAGAGGCCACCCTAGGAATTACGGATCGATGACATTAAAGAGCTTCTACATCGACTCAGAATGACAAAAGCCATTGCTGCCTATCAAGCAACAGATCGCAAACTGTTCCTCCCCACAACGCTTAATGGCAGAAATAGAAAGGGATGACGACGATGATGATGATACATCAGACAGACTGGCTGTGCGACCCTAAATCCTCAGGCTCATGACCCCCTGTCTACACTGTCCTGGTACATACAGACACTTATCATCATCAGTTTTCGTTATGCCTAGTGGCACATGAGGCTTCAGAGAGGACTTTCCATCTTCAGTTCAGTTTTCCATGTCAAAGATGCCACACTCAGGTCACTTTCCATCGTTCGTCTTCATGTTGTTTTTGGGCGCACCTGTTTTCTCTTTCCCTCTGGTGTCCATGTGAGAGCTGTTTTGGCAGGCATCAGGATTCATCCCCATAACGTGGCCAAGCCATTTCCATCTTCTCTTGGTTATCATACTGTCTAAAGTTTCATGGTTTGTGACTTGAAGTAGTTTAGTGTTTGAGATTGTATCTGGCCAGAAAATTTTTATAATTCTACGTAGACATGTGTGGTGGAAGGTGGATAGTTTGTGTGCACCCTTTTTTGGTCATTCTCCAGCAAAAAGGATACACACAGGATATACAGACACTTGTCGCAGTTTATAATCACAACTGGTTCACTATAGCCCTTAAAAACTTGTTATCACCATAACTGAAAAGACAACTGCATAGAATATTCTTTATCGTGGGATATTTGTTGCTAATTTTTTTTTTTTTTTATGTTACAAGCTAGAAAACCTAACTTCACAGTAAGGGTTCTTGGCTCCCATTTTGTGAAGAAGGATCTAGTGCCCCCTACAAGCATGTTGTAAAAGTATGCTAATTAGGGATTAGATGATATTAGATGTGTTAGGTCAAAACGTGCAGATACTGCAGCCTAGCTGTAAACTACATCACACGGTGCCAGCTGCCCCTTTAAGGGCACATGCAGAAGCAGCCCTTCATGGGCGGCTAGTGGATAATGATGAATTTCTGACGCTGACATGAATGCATGACCTGGAAGTAAAGCTTGGTGAAGCACACCTATGCCCCCTTATAATGTTAAGACAGGAGAGATTATAACCAACTTCTCAGCAGAGGTACCTTGGAGTGGCTCTATATCAAAGCACTGGGCATGCAGGGAAATGCCTAATGTGCCATGATACTGATTGTGATAACAGAATCAGAAGAAAATTGAATACTGCCAACTACTGCCTTTATTTTACCACTTTTGCTGCGTATGCACAGGGTGGGGAGAGGGGGGGGGGGGGGGTTTGAGCTGGAGGATTTACTAGCATGGTTAGTGCTGTTGCCACAACTGTGCAGGTAAGCATTTTACTTTGCCCCCCACAGAGAAAAAAAAATCCCCAGCATTACAGAGGATTCAAACCTGGGTCTCCTGCTTGAGAGCCCAGAGTTCTAACCATAAACAGAATAAAGAATATTTCAGCTTTGTGTGGGTTCTTTCATACACACATGCTTGTTCTTTGCTGATTATTAAAGTCATTATCAAGACAAAGGTATTAAAAGTCTGCGAGTATGAAGGAAACAGCAATCAAGTAGGAAAATATCTGGCTATACGACATAACTAAATTAATCCTAGTACAGGATATTTTTCAAAGTGGTAGACATTCAACTAACAAGCATCGACTGAAAGAGTTTCTCTCCCTTTAAATCAAAGTTCATCTGGGTGAGATGCCAAGGCACCAACAAATAAACAAAATCTGTAAAACACTTCTGCACACAACACTCAGGTCCTGGAACCAGACCAAAGTCCAGAAGTGGACAAACAACCAGGACTTTTCACCTGAGATTACAACTGGTAAATGTGAAGAAAGAGAAGAAGCTAGTTAATTGTTACAATAATCCTAACTAAATCATAATTTGTATTAAGTTACCATCATCAACAGCCCGGCCATAGGCAAACTCCTCATCGCTGTCATCTTCCACCCCTGGCATGATAGCCACACCTTTTGTCACTGAACTCACAAGATCTCCTGTTGATGATACATCTGTGTGTTAAATTTGGAGAAATAACAGAAGCACCTATCAAGGAGGAATTACTGTAACAAATGAGAAGAGGCAGTTAAATTGGGGAGAATGACACTAACATCTGGCAAGAAGCTGTTAATTTAGGGAGAGCCACAGTAACATCTGACAAGAAGCAGTTAATTTAGGGAGAGTCACAGTAACATCTGACAAGAAGCAGTTAATTTAGGGAGAGTCACAGTAACATCTGACGAGAAGCAGTTAATTTAGGGAGAGTCACGGTAACATCTGACAAGAAGCAGTTAATTTAGGGAGAATCACAGTAACATCTGACAAGAAGCAGTTAATTTAGGGAGAGTCACAGTAACATCTGACAAGAAGCAGTTAATTTAGAGTCACAGTAACATCTGACAAGAAGCAGTTAATTTAGGGAGAGTCACACTAACATCTGACGAGAAGCAGTTAATTTAGAGAGTCACTGTAACATCTGACAAGAAGCAGTTAATTTAGGGAGAGTCACTGTAACATCTTACAAGAAGCAGTTAATTTAGGGAGAGTCACAGTAACATCTGACAAGAAGCAGTTAATTTAGGGAGAGTCACGGTAACATCTGATGAGAAGCAGTTAATTTAGGGAGAGTCACGGTAACATCTGATGAGAAGCAGTTAATTTAGAGAGTCACAGTAACATCTGACAAGAAGCAGTTAATTTAGGGAGTCACAGTAACATCTGGCAGAACAAATGACTATTATCTGACAATAAACATTACAGATTATCTGGCAAACAAGGTAGTTATCATGACCGGTCCAGCACTAGACAGGAGTGATGTCATTAAAATCCATGTGAGCTGCATATTACAAAAAAGACAACGGCAACAAGCAAGACTCAGTATCCTTGTCCAGGCTGGAGGACATGAGGATGCAACCTGAAGCAGCCAGATATGAACCTTTCACCAAGGGCACAAGGTCTCTGATTAATCAACACAGAACAGGTGTCATCAGCTGTTATACTCTTATAGAGCTAATCAGGAGGAGATCAAAGCACCTACGAATGCCGGAGAGCTGTGATGACAGTCTTCCCTAATCACTAAGAAAATCTGACAGTAACATCTCACAAGGAGCATGGGCAGCGATGGGAAAAGCTAAGTGAGTGGTCTCCATGTGCACACAAAAAAACAACAAAATTTTTTTCAAAAATAAAAACAATCACAACCAAACCAGCACAGGCATAAAAGTTGAATGTTGAATGAAGAATCGATATCACAGCCCTGGGGACACACCCATAAGTGCTCCCTCCCCATCTTCAGCAGCAAGCAAAGACATCACAGCACATGCATGAGAAAGTGACTAGGTACAACTGGTAAGATAACAGACTGGTCTGAGAGTTCACTTTTCAGTTTCTGGAAAATGAAGCTGCATAAAACAGAATGGAGGAATGGACTCTCAATATGATGTATAAATGGCACAACATGATAATGATGTCGTGTAGTATATCTATGCAGCACTGTACCTGATTCTTGTACTGGGGGCACCTTTAACTGGGTATGGTCTTTGGCAAACTCTTCTCGGCTTTGCCGTTTCTCAGCCTCAGTGTTTTCCTGCCTCAGCCTCTCGTACATAGGTCGGTACTCTCTGTCGAAGATGTATCAAACCATCAGTTGAAGAAATGCATTCACGGATAGTGCATCAGAAGACAGAGAAATTTTGTTTTGAAGATGAACATCTAACTTATTGGTTTTATGGGTATGACAGAATCAAATGTCACAGGGCAGCTACAGTGGTGGATGAAAAGCTTTTCTGCCATGAAAATCCTCGGGGGAAATATCATGAATTTGGGAATTGCTGGGGAAAAAAATCCTTTAAAAATAACAATTTTACATAGGTCACTAATAATTTTTATTAATTTTTTTTAGACATAAGAATGGGGGTAACCAATTAACATAAAGGATAGAATGAAAAATTGAATACATTCCCTAGGTCCTAAAACTAATTTATTTGGTGACCTGATTGTTTTTCTATGTTATATAGTTAGCATAAAGGAAGCATAACGAAGTTTTGGACCGTGCTTTGGAGTTCGTGCACGAGTGCCCAGTCTCCAGGGGCTGTTGAAGTTGGTTCTGCAACGTCCTGTAACGGATATGCAACTAACTATCTGTTGAGCTTTCTAGTCATATTTTAAGTTGTATTTAGTTCCATTCCCTTTTCACAGCTTTCTAGTCATATTTTATGTTGTATTTAGTTCCATTCCCTCTGTTGAGCTTTCTAGTCACATTTTATGTTGTATTTAGTTCCATTCCCTCTGTTGAGCTTTCTAGTCACATTTTATGTTGTATTTAGTTCCATTCCCTCGTTGAGCTTTCTAGTCACATTTTATGTTGTATTTAGTTCCATTCCCTCTGTTGAGCTTTCTAGTCACATTTTATGTTGTATTTAGTTCCATTCCCTCTGATGAGCTCTCTAGTCACATTTTATGTTGTATTTAGTTCCATTCCCTCGTTGAGCTTTCTAGTCACATTTTATGTTGTATTTAGTTCCATTCCCTCTGTTGAGCTTTCTAGTCACATTTTATGTTGTATTTAGTTCCATTCCCTCGTTGAGCTTTCTAGTCACATTTTATGTTGTATTTAGTTCCATTCCCTATGTTGAGCTTTTTAGTCACATTTTATGTTGTATTTAGTTCCATTCCCTCTGTTGAGCTTTTTAGTCACATTTTATGTTGTATTTAGTTCCATTCCCTCCTCACAGCTTTCTAGTCACATTTTATGTTGTATTTAGTTCCATTCCCTATATTGAGCTTTCTAGTCACATTTTATGTTGTATTTAGTTCCATTCCCTCTGTTGAGCTTTCTAGTCGCATTTTGAGTTAAATTTAGTTCAATTCACCCTGTTGAGCTTTCTAGTCACATTTTATGTTGTATTTAGCAATGCCTATACTACAGCTAAATAGCAAACAATAATTACATCGACTCTACTACATATGTATACTGTACTCACTTCTCATACTCAACTGTGGCCTCATCAATTTTATTTAAAAACTCATCAACTCCCTCGCCTGTGGCTGCTGACACGCCGACAGTCTATATGGAAACAAAGATAAAGGACAACAGTAAAGATTCATGGTGACAAAGAGATTAGCATATCGCAGTACTGAAAATAGAGTGACTGAAATCAGGCTATTAGTGTATTTGAATTAATGTAAAATAAAAACCTGAAAGCCGGAAAAATAAACAGACACATAATAGTAGTTGGGGTTTCAACTGCACTGCTAATGAGTCACCCTATTATTGCTCTATTTCTGTGCTATCGCCCTGATGGTCACAAATAAAAACTAGTGAACAAACAATTAGTCTAGGCTAAAATCCAGAAACATATACACACATTCTTCTTCTTAAAGTCAATGCCGTGTGGCACTGGTAGTCATGTCTATCCACATCCTTCTGTCTCGGGTACTTTTAATTAATTCTGATACAGATGATCGTCCATGCCGTGTGGCACTGGTAGTCATGTCTATCCACATCCTTCTGTCTCGGGTACTTTTAATTAATTCTGATACATATTTTCCTCCATGCCGTGTGGCACTGGTAGTCATGTCTATCCACATCCTTCTGTCTCGGGTACTTTTAATTAATTCTGATACAGATGATCCTCTTTGCCATGTCAATCTGTCCAGCATCTTCTCTTTCGGTCTTTCTCTGCCTCTCCGCCCCTCCCACTTTCCTACTGTCATTATGTACTCCAGTTTTCTCCTACTCATCACATGACCAAAGAATGTAGATTATCTCTTTCTGATGTGGGCAATCAATTCTCTTTATGAGTAGTATCTTTCAAGACATCATCATTACTCTTTTTATTTGTCCGACGTATTCTCATCAACCATCTATGAAACCTCATCTCTGCAGGATTAATATTGTATTTAAATATACACTTTGTCAACTCAATTGACAAACAAAGATTACAGACATGTAAACACAAATAAAGGCTTCAATTAAACATCAGCTACCAGGTCGCCCATTGGTTCGCCGGTAGACGACTTCATCGCCCATCAGGACATTATCTGGGTCTGCCTCCTGTGATCGCATCAACACTGCAAGAGTTCTTTTCAGAGCTCTTGGTGGCGAGCAATGATAAGTGATTTTATATGGCTCACGTAAGTTAGTCACAAACATAACCTAAAACTTCCTTTTGAGGATGCTGGTTGAAAGTGACAATTTGTTAATTTTTTTATCGAAGTTGCCGCTACCTTAAAAAAAAAAGGTAAGTAACAGATCTGTTTTACGCCAGTGGTACACTGGGTATTTATTTGATGCTAGACTTCCATTTTTACAGACTAATCAGCACTCTGGGCTGACACACCAGTCACCTTTACTTCCCCGTACATTTTCTGGTACCTTTTTATGCCTGGTTATTCTGGAAGCAAAAGTCAACATTTAAAAAAAAAATAAGGCCTGTGCAAACAATGAACCTAAGACCTTCAGTCTGCCAGGTCAGCGTTTAGTCCAACTCTGCCAAGACCAGAACCCAGGACCTTCCAATGAGCAGGCGAACATCTAGCCGCTACACAATGGCAGCTCCCCAAACACACAACGGCTCAGCTAAAAATAAAATTTAAAAAAAAAAAAAAAATAACTATTTTATTATATGTATGTAAGACAGGGATAATAAACAGATGAGCTGGAAAACATGTACCCACAGTGATAATGTGGTTGTTGAGAAGAAAGAATAGCATGGAATGACAGAAAAACAAACAAGGTATTCCTCCTCAAGGAAGGTGAAAACTGTAAACTGATTGAAAGAAGTTAGATAAATACAGTCATTGTTTAGGTTTAGGTTTAGACAATGGATCAACATCATGGCACAAGGGTAGTAACCCATAAGTGCTCCGTTCTGCTTCTAACTCAAGTCTGAGTCCAAATAATCTCAGCGCAATGCACAAACTCCATATAGCACCGGCAAGGATCCTGAAACACTTTGAGTAGATTTTTATAATGTTTATATATTTTTATAACAGTCAGTTATGAGAAGGAATGGACTTCATAACTTGGTTAGAACATGTCATATTGATGGAAAAAGAGCAAGGAGAAGGCAAAGAGATAAATATCTGCAGGTGTGGCCATATAGATGGGATAAGAGATGAGCACTGACCTGATCCACGATTCCAGTGATCATGTGAGATTGTGAAACATAACCGCTTATCAGCAGAGCACATGATGATGATGATGCATGGTATTTACCTTAATGTTCATATAAAACTCGTCAAGCACCAGGCTCATTGAGCGTGTGAGGTTAGACACATAGGAGGTCTCATGTTCCAGGGCATCTTGAAAGGCTTCAAAGTCAGTCATCCATTCTTGGGCAAAAGTGTGGCTTATGATGTCTATCTACAATTGGACACCAGAAAGAAAATAAAGATTATTAGATTCAACAGCCTGTGATTTGTGATGCCCAGGTTTTTTGTTTTTCTTCTGAAGGCACGCAATGGTACACAATACCTACACCTTTTTTTCCAGGCAGCATTTTATTTTCAGTGCTAATATAATAGACGCTATGTGTCATATACTTGACCTTTTTCTAGACCAAAAAAAAAAGCCTTAGTGACGACAACCTGTGATTCTATACAGAAAAATAAATTAATCAACAAAATTAGACTATTTTTTTTACTTGTGTTATGTATCTGTGCAAATGGAGCTGTAGTTTATTCATCATCATCAGGTGCCTTGCCAACTGGCGTGGGCGATTATGCCCCCCCCCCCAATCTTCCACTTTCTACCACCATAATGTCTATCATTTTATGTAGTTCTTTCTGACTTGTTGCTATTAAGACTGTGTCATCAGCATAACGTAAACTGTTTATATTGTGCTCACTAACAACAATCCTGGGCATATCAATTAAAGATCTCATTATATACTGACTGTATAGTAAAAATAAATCAGGTGACAGTACACGTCCTTGTCGTACGCCCCTCTTTATGCTCTGAAATGTACCTAAACAGTTAATTCTTATAGCTGCTGTTTGCTGCCAATACATATTTTTTTTATTATTCGTAGATCTTCTTCATTAAATTTGTGTGTGTTTTAGTTTATTAAATTGATTAAGATTAAAGTAGTTTATTAAATGCATGATTTATTTATTACAGAAAGGAGAAAGGTATCAATTAATCTTCGACTGACTGAGTTAAGTTGTGGCTTATATCGATCTGTGACTCACAACTAATTCTATTGGTTCACTTTATTCAGTGGTAAATCAAATTACCTACCATGTTCATAGCTATGACAAGTGCAAGTGGCATTATGTGTATTTAGGGAATTTGTTCATAAATGTCAGTCCTCCATACATACACAAGGGTTCCATCAGCTGACCATGGCCACCCACTTTCTTTGGCACGGCACATGCTGATGGGGACTAGTACTGCAGTAAAGGAGCGCCAACCCTAACAGGGAGCACCACAATAAGCTAAGCATATGTAACATCGTAACAACAACAGTACATGTCCTATGGTCACCACCAACACTGTCTTCGAGTACTGTAATACACTATATCACTAAAAGTATGATCTTATAGTGCGATTTTTTATGGATGAACATATTGCGAAGACAATGAATTGGTGATCAATGAACCACCATCTGTCTACCACCTGCCAAACACACTCACATTGGCAATCTCTCCAGACATAGGTGAAAACACCTTGAGAACTATGTACAGGCGCTGCTACAAACGACCCATCGCCCGACTGTGCAGATCCACCTATGTGATTTGCAGTGATAGTTGTCTCATGGTTCTCCCTCTAAAAGAGCCCAAGGTAGATGCATTACTTGGTGAAAAGAATCCAGACCTTCAGTCTGTACCCAGTCACTCAATGAAGTATCACTTATCCACCTCCAGTTAACCATGCTAATCCGTATTAACCACAAGACTCCGTCTTCCGCAGACCAGCATTCCCGATACCTCCCCATCACAATTCCACGCTGGTCAACACATACAAAGTGATCAAAGCACTATCTGTAGCACTTAAAAACACCCCGTCAACCAGCGTGCCACACAGCTGCAACTTTGCCGAATCCTCACATACATGGAGTGACATCAGTCCACTGTAGAAAATCACGATGACAGCATTTCGAAGTACAATTTATGATCTACCACATTCATTATACAGTTTACCCAAGCTCCAATCGAATAAAGCATTGTCAAAACTGCCACACATGTAACAATTCGGGCACACGTCCAACCACTTAGATTGACTGAAAGCAACTGACTCAAGCTACTACGGGATTATCCCACACGCTTTGAATTCTGCGAGGGTCTCGCTCACCAAAAAGCCGGGGTTCACAGTGCACCCGTGAATGTCCAGCAACCACTGTTTCACAACTTTAACCGCCTCAAGTGTCTACATTTACAACATGAATGCCAGTGTACACCCATGTGTCATAACCCCTGGCTTCATTAACTCTTTACCCACAACAGTGACTTTCACACACAATAAGCTACAATAGACTATTATGTTTACAGCTAGAAGCAATGTTTCACTATGTTCACACATAGAACTGGGCTAGCTGTCTTAAAATGTTCAATTTGTTTCCATCAATAACATCTGGTCTATCATATTCACAGCTATATAAACTGTTGCTCTTCACAGCTATAACTTCTCTTCTTCACAGCTTTCATCGGAAATTGTAAACTCAGCTGAGAAGTTATGGTTGTTACCCACTTCTGCATCCCAAAGGGAACACCCCTAAATAGTCAGTGGATCTCTTCTTTTTGTCCCTTAAATGGGGCCCCCAGAACCACACTGGGAAAAGCCATTAAAATATGTTTTTTCATTTACAACCCTAACCTTGACTCATTTTATTTATAATATCTCAAAAGACTTACTTTGTTCTGTGACCATCAATCAGATTTACTTTATTCCTGGCAATTACACATACTTTATATATGACAATCAATCAGATTTACTCTATTCCTGACAATCAAACACACTTTATTTGTGATAATTGAGCACATTTACTTTATTTGTGACAATCCAACACATTTACGTTATCAGTGACAATCAAACATGTTTCCCTCATCAGTGACAATCAAATAACTTTTAATCAAATAAGTTTTTCCTTTTTTGTGTGTGTGACAATCAAACACCTTTACTTTATTTATGACAAAGGGTTACATTTACCTCATATGTGATAATCAAATACATTTACTTTATTTGTAACTATTGGAGACACTTACCTTATTTGTGATAATCAAATACACTTACTGTATTTGTGACAATCAATTAGACTTACTTTATTCATGACAATGACGAACGGAAGCTTGGTTTTGTACAGGATGCTGCAGGCATACAACATGTTGGACATGAAGGTCACTGGGTTCACACTGCGTGGGGTGTCCATCACATACACAACCACTGTTGGAAACGTTGATGCCTGGTATTTTTAAAAAAAAGTCACAATGTTATATGATAACAATTTTGTGTGAACTTTGCAAATTATAATGTTTTAACAATCACATACTGATAGGACAAATAACAAATAGACCAAACAATTTCTTGAGGCCTCATCAATGTGGCTCTCCAGAAGAAGGCTTAAAATTCCTTGAACAGCCAAAAAGAGCAAACCATATGTTTTGAAGGAGGTGAGAGGTTGAAGACAACTTATTACGAACATCAGAAAGAAACAGTCATCATTTTTTACCATGTTATGAGAAGAAGGAAACTGGAACATGTTGGGACCACTGGAAAGATCTGTGGAAAGAGAGACAGAGGAAAACAGCGTAAAAAGATTTTTGACAGCCTTTTGTCATGGCATGCAGGGGTGTCAACATACAAACTGATACACATTGAGACATTTTTTTACCATAGAAATCCACAACAGTATACATGGTACAGATGGAACAATATCTCCATCAACAGCCAAATTGATTTTATATTAACAAGAGTCAAAGGAAGAAGGAGAGTTCTTGATGCAAGAGCAATCCCTAATGGTCTGTATGACACCGACCATAAATAGTTGTGATTACAGCAAAATACATTGTCTTCAAGAAACACAGGAAGAAATTAACTAACAACCATGATCTCATCAGGATAGCAAGTTTGAAACAAGGAATAAAAGAACAGTTACAAAAGAAAGTAGAGTCAGTATTCAACAACTATTGTCTGTGGTGGTCAATACTGAGAATGAATGGAGTGTATATAAATCCACCTTGCTTAGTATTGCTGAAGAATTATGTAGAAAAAGAAAGAGAGGAAGCAGACAGAATTGAAACAAATATTCGCCTTGGTGGTGTGAAGAAGTAAAAGAAGCAGCTAAGAAGAAAAAAGACATAAACAGTGGATTAAATCGAAGAGAGATGATGACTATGTAAGCTATAGCCTGCAAATGAAGAAACACCAACCAGAGGATCAAGAAAGCAAAACAAGTATCCTGATGTAGAATTCGGATGTAGAGTCATTAGCAGAAAGCGAGAAAACAGCCAGAAAAACATTTTTCATAGTAGTAAAAACTATGCAACAAAGAGATAGCTACAACCCAACAGTAGTAATTAACTATAAAACATGAAAATCATTAATAGACCAACCAGAGATAGCTGAAAGATGGGAGAGAATACTGCAGTGAGCTCTTTAACCCCTTAAAAGATTTCCAGGGAAGAACACCCAAAAAACTACAAAGCAACAATGCCAAAACCAGATATACTAATGACTTAAGTAGTTAAAGTCATTAAGCAGTCCCCGAAATATAAAGCACCAGGAGCTGATAGACCACCAACAGAAACAATCCAAGCAGCAAGTGAAAGCAAGATTAGATGGCTCCACAGAATATTCAAATCAGTATGGGTACAACAAACTGCTCCCATTGACTGGCAACATGTAATAGTTGTACAGTTGTGGAAGAACAAGGGAAGCAAGCGAGAATGCAATCAATACTGAGGGCTCCCTCTTTCAAGCCATGTTGGGAAAATGTATGCTAAGATAATAGAAACGAGGCTGCGACCAGTGATAGAACCGCAGTTAACAGAAAAACAGATGGATTCAGAAGAAACAGAAGCTGCACAGATGCGATCTTAAAACTTAAACAGTTAATAGAAAAGAACATTAAATATGATCAGAACTTCTTTGTAGCAATTGTAGACCACGAGAAAGCTTCTGACAGGGTCGATAGACAATGTAGTGAATCTCATTTTCTCCCAGTTAATTTATGCCCGACAGATGACGTCAGTAATAAATGTGAGTGGAATATTTTGACTCTAACTGGGATTGTTGAGTCTGAACTTCACGGGAGTTATAGAAAAAGGCTGATAGTCAAACTTTGTGTGAAGCATAATTATTCACGTGAATAGAAACTATGACTGTCGAACTTCATGCGAAGTACGAGGAATCACGTGCCACGCACCATGTCCAGCCAAATGGAATTCGTGAGACAGAAGGGACACGGAATATTCGGGAAAAACAAAGCGGGGATTAGAAGACTATATAATAGCGTAAAAAGGGCTGAGAGGCAGTCTCATTTGGGCCCAGGAACAGAGTGCATGGACAACGATGGAAGATGTGTGGATTCAACATGTGTTGAGGGAATTTGTTCCAGTCCAACTTGGCAAAAAAGCTGGCAGGCAAGATGTCTGCGGGCCAAGTTAGTTTTTCTGTCAGGACAGCTGTTGTGTTTTCGTTTGTAGGATGATTGTGATTTCGAACAGAAGGTAATAGATCCTTTTGATATTTGAGTTATAATGTGTGCCTGGACAGTAGTCTATTTCATGTGCCGGCTGTGTAAGCCGCGAGTAGAAGATTAAATTGCTGAACAGTATCGTGTTGTTTTCCAGTCGTCCATTTTCTGCTCGTCGTGTGATGTCGGGATGTGAGATAGCCAGCGTGCGATGATGCGAGCCAGATAGAAGATAAAAGAAAATCATTGCAGACAAAAATTATGGAAAGTAATGGCTCAATATGGAGTAAGTGAACACCTCATTGAAGTTTGCAAAAGCCTATATAGCGATTGTAGAAGCGTAGTTAAAATAAATCAGGTAACATCTAAACCAAAAACTAAATCAAAATAACATCTGAAGTAAGAGAGGGATGTATCTTATTACCACTCCTATTTATCACCTATATTGACAGTAAAAGCAAGGATGCCAGGCTTAAAAATGAGAATAATAGTAACATCAATGAATTACTCTTTGCTGATGACCAGGTCTCGCAGATGCAACCATGAATTTTCAACAGCATCTCACAATCATGAATGAAGAATGTAAATCAAATAATATGAGAATCAACATCGAAAAGGCAGAAGTAATGTCAATAGGAAGAAAGAAGCAGGATTTAAACATAGCATTAGAGCATACATCTGAGTTTAAGTATCTTAGAACAACATTTACTGAAGATGGTAAATTGGGCGAAGAAATTGACATTCGATGCAGTAAAGCAAGCCAAGTAGTGGGACAGTTAGCTCCCCTCTTACAGACTAAGGCAATCCCTGTCAGCACAAAGAGACATCTCATACAAAGCATATGCATTCCCTCCCGATGCTACCAGTGCCAGACGTGGTCATTCACAACAAAACATTAAAGAAAATTAGTAACCATGGAAATGAGGTGTCTGAGAAAGACTTTAGGAGTCACCAAAATAGACAAAATCAGGAATGAGGTCACACGAGATAAAGCTGGCACAAAACCAATTCTAAACTACACACAAAGACAGCAAATGAAATAGTTTACCCACTTGGAGAGAATGCCTCCTGATGATATAAGGCATATACCTAAAGAGAAAAGGGGCGTAGAGCAAGAGGTAGACCAAGAACCTTATAGGAAGATAACATCAGAGAAACTCTGCAGCACCACTATGTGTCTATGGTCGAAGCAGACAGAAGAGCACAAAGCAGCCAGAAGAGCACAAAGCAGCCAGAAGAGCAAAAAACAGCCAGAAGAGCAAAAAGCAGCCAGAAGAGCACAAAGCAGCCAGAAGAGCACAAAGCAGCCAGAAGAGCACAAAGCAGCCAGAAGAGCAAAAAACAGCCAGAAGAGCACAAAGCAGCCAGAAGAGCACAAAGCAGCCAGAAGAGCACAAAGCAGCCAGAAGAGCACAAAGCAGCCAGAAGAGCACAAAACAGCCAGAAGAGCAAAAAACAACCAGAAGAGCAAAAAACAGCTAGAAGTTGCTTTTTTAAATGATAAACACTCAGCTGTAGCTTTTTGCTTTTTTCCCTTCCTTCCACTGAGCTTCTAAGTCACATTTTGTGTTGTGATTAGTTAGAATTAAGAACAGTGTGTCTGACCATCTCAAGGTAAGAACTGAACTGCCCAATTTCATGTCATTTTTCTTACAACTGTGACTCTTCCCTGAATGAGCTGATTTTAGTGCAACCAATGAGCGTGTTTAAGTTTTCCTTACATCATGAAAATCATGTTGAATACAATTATACATATTTATAGTGGTTTATATTACCAACAACTTATTTGGATAACCAACAAACAAACAAAGTAAGTAGCCTACACATCCTTACCAAAGACTCAGTGATAATACTGCCAGATGCCGACCAGGTAAAGACTTCAATCTGGCCTGGGGTGTCTAGAACGACATGCCTGGAAAAAAAGCAGAGAAACTATAAACTATGTCATATTGTATTAAAAACATATACTATGACTAAATCATTGCTCTATTTAGCTCTAATGTCAGATCAGTACTCTGTATGGAGCTGAAACACAAAGAACAACTGAAACAATTATTGATAGGGAAAATTTTTTACTAATAGACTAGAAAGATTCATTAACTGGTGCCTGAGAATAATAGATGAAATGAAATGTTATGATAGATAATGCATTTTAAGCTTTTTTTTTTTTAAACGAACTCCAATAAATCATGAGGTGAAGAAAATATGCTAAAAGTAGGACACACACTGAGAAAACCTGAGAAAAATATAGCTAGAATACCTCTTTATGCTGGAACTTGCAGAGGCACAGAAATAAAGACAGTGACAAAAACACAGAGAAGGGAGCTTGATAGTGTAATTAAAAAGATGGGGAGGACATGGGATAGCAAAGGATAGGATGACCTGGAGTGAGATGGTTGAGGACATTTGTTACACTGGTGGGTTAAGGGCAGAAGAAGAAGATGTTATCAATCATTTTTAAGTGCTATCTCAGAAAGATGTTTAAAATATCAATTACAGCTAAAATTATTGATCAAAATATTCTGAAAAAGTCTAAGACCAACACACGCAAAAACTGAATAGAAATATAAAATGGACGTGGTCAATGTTTGTTAACCACATGAGCTGAGAATCTTCTTCTTCTTCTTTGTTCACCGGCTGACAGCTCCGGCGGAAAGCCCTGGTTGTTCATCCATTTGGACTTCGGCTTTGTGTCAGGGCTTGAGTTTTGCATGTACATCCATTTTACTGGCTTGTTTGTGTGCAGCTGGTTGTTCCTTGCCACTCGGGCACATGCACTCCAACTCTGAAGGAAGATCCAAATTAGTCAACTCTTACGGCATGCTTATTGGAGTGGCAGTCCTGGCATCATTCAGAAATATGCACACGCAGTAAGTGCACAAGGCAGCTGCTAGAGGTGCGAAAGCCAAAAGTCACCACCAGAAATTCAGTCTGTCATTGATGGAAGCAGTTGGTCACAAAAAGTTGGCTATGCACGTGCAAAATTGCTACATAAGTTGCTTCACCAGCCCACATGTAAACTGGCCATGTTGAATACCATAACTCAATTGCTTCACAAATGAGAATAAATAAAAAAATTTATTAAATAAAAAATTAGTAAATGGAAAGAGTAGAATCTGCAGCCACCGGCTCCAAAATGATTCTCAGAAAACAAAAGTGAGCAGAAAGTGCCATACACTCTCCATCATGCGCTCTTCCTAGAACTGAATGTTCCAGCACAGTTGGTTTGAGGTGCTCCACCAAAGACATTTATTTTAAAATAAAGCTCCATGAGCGAAAATAGCTTGGAAGCACTGGTTTAAAACAGTGTAATCAGAACTTACTTGCATTCTCCTGTCTTGGACTCTATGAAACTCATCACCTACAGAAAAAAAAAAGACATTATCATTATGGTAGAAAGTAAAGGACCCTTTTTCCTGATTTCTTTTCAAAAATGATCTTGGCTCCCAGGTCGACCCAGCCGTGAGTGGGTATCAGGCACAGTCCTGGGAAGTAAAGGCGGCTGACGTGATGCTGACCACATCAGCCACCAAGTGTTGTTTGGTCTACAAAATATAGGTCTAGCCCTATATACACAATACACCTGAAGGCAGGGAAAATGGTCCTTTTATTTTACTTGCGGTTCATGGCAGTAAACTGGGTTCTCGGCATATCATGTGCTATAAATAGCAAGCGACTAAATTTATTAAATTTACCTAAACCTAGAATAGATTTATATAAAACAAGTTTAGCGTACTCCGCTGCTCATTTGTGGAACCAACTTCCACTAGACCTGAAAAATTCTAAAAGTCCCTATTCATTTAACCGTAAACTTTTTCAATTTATACTTACAAGCGATTATATGCCACCTTGAATGTAATGTAACCCATATTGCATTATCAATTTATTATTAAACAAAGTGTGTATGATATGTATGTTTGCGCGCACGTGTGTGTGATTGTATGTATGTGTAGGCGTGTTTATATACATATGATTCTGAGTATGTTGTTTGTCTGCTTGTGTATCTGCGTGTGTGTCTGCAAATGTATGCGTCTGCGTCCTTGTGTGTGTGTGTGTGTGTGTTTGCGCGTATGTCCACGTGTATGTTTCAGTATGAATTGGTCTGTGTGTGTTTCTGTGTGTTTAACTTAAGTGTGCCTCTTTGCTGTGTATGTGTGTCTGCGTGTGTGTGTGTGTGCGCGATTGGATCCATGTAGCTGTGTATATGTGTCTGTGTGTGTGTCTCTGTGTTTGTCTGCATGTGTGTGTGTCTCGGTGTTTTTCTGCATATTTCATGTGACTGTGTGTATATCTTCGTTTGTGTCTGTGTGTGTCCTCGTATGTGTTCGTCTGCATGTTTGCCTGTGTATGTTTATGTGTTTTGTCTGCGGGTGTGTCTATGAGGCTGTATGTATGTATCTTTGTGTGTGGGTGTCTGTATGTCTGTCTGCGTGAGTGTATGTGTCAGCATGTGTCTGTCTATGTGTGTTTCTCTGTGTGTATTGTGTGTGCCCCTTTGTTGTCTGTATGTGTCTGCATGTCAGAGTATATGTCTGTGCGTGCTGAATATATGTGTCTGCGTGTGTATTTCTATGTGTTTGTATGTGTATGCATTTCTGTGTGTTTGTCTGTGTGGGTGTCAGATTGTGTTTGTCTGCCTGTTTGTATTTGTGTGTGTGTGTGTTTGACTGCGTGTGTGTCTATGTGGCTGTATGTATGTGTCTGCATGTTTGTCTGTGTGTGTGTGTGTGTAAGTGTGTGAGCACGAATGTAAATATGTGTGCTGTGTGTTTTCCTGTGTGTGTTTATATGTAAGAGTCTGTGTGTGTGTCTGTATTTCTGTCTAAGTGAGCGTGTGTCTTTGTGGGAGTGTCTCCATGCATGACTGTATTTATGACTGTATTTATGACTGTATGTTTGTATGTGTGTATGCCTGTATTACGAATGTATGCCTGTATGTTTGTATCTATGTATGTTTGTTTGTATGTATGCATGCCTGTGTGTATGCCTGTTTGCATGTTTGTTTGTATGTATGTACGTATATATGTATGTATGTAATGTTTGCATGCATGTATGTGAGTGGGTGATCGTGTGTATGTGGGTGTTTGTATGCACGCGCGGGTTTTTTGCATGCACTTTACAACTCATGCTTTTGTGTTCTTTTATAATCTTCATAATATGCATATTATCATATGATCATAACATGCTTTATTAGTAAAAATACAACTGCTGTGCGAAAGATGGTTGACTGGAAGGGCCGAATGTAAGACGGGCCTGCGTGCCCAATTTGTGACCCTTTGAAAATAAAGTTTGTTCGTTCGTTCATTTGGCAGATTACAGTTTTATTGCAAGTTGCTGTATCACAGTGGCCAGATATCTGCCTGCCAGCCTGATGGTCATGGGTCTGAATCTGCATCGAGATGGATTTGATTCAAATTCTCCGGCAATAAAACTCCAGCAGAATGTTTGATTGCTGCTCATCCACTTTCAGACCTTGGTCTTGTACCAGAACTTGAGTTTTGCATGCAGATCAGTTTTACAGATCTGGTTTATTTGTATGCAGACTGTTGGTACCTCTTCAGGAGCATTCTGACTCTGAAGAAAACACCCCTAACTAGTCACTTTTACAATATGTCTGCAATTAGTTTGTCTCAGAACAAGGAGCACAGGAACCTGCACAGAGGGAGATTTTATTTATGTGCCCTTGGCTCTCAGGTCAACTAGGCCTAAAACTGGTACAAGGTAAAGTCCTGGAAAGTAAAGGTGGCTGGCATGATGCTAACTACATCACCCAATCAGTGCCAAGTGGTCGTTATAAATTAAGAGTCTAACATCATAAACCTAATGCACCACTGGTATGATAAAGGTCCCTTACTTATACGCTTTAATAACAAAACAGAGATCTCCCATTTTTCTGTTTCTTACCTGATCAAAACGTGTGGCAAACAAGTTCAGAGAAGTCACTATCCCACCATTGGGACCTAAAGAATAACTGTAATATCAATAAGGAAACTACACCGATCTTATGAAAGCATTGTTGATTACTTTCAGTAAAAAGTCTATTTAACCCCCACTCCCGATGTGAATGGAACATTTCAAACCTTCACATTACACCGAAACCATGTGGTATGAAACACTTCCGTAAGGTTTTATGACATGCTTGTTAAGCAGCAGTAGATTTATTCAGTATACTCCTTTCAACCCCCCACCCCCACCCCACAAATCTATATCATGCAAAAACACTAAAATAATGGAATTCCTCATACACAAAGGAATAATGCTGATTGAAAGAATTGCATTACAGGACGGATGTAAACTTTAAAAAGTCTGACAGAGCGAGGTCCTACCTTCAGGTAAAACATACTTATCATCTTATACCCCATCCTTTGTAGGCAGATGGAATTTATAGTAATTTTGAAGTTACCTTGGTAAGTCACGTGACTACAGTGAAGTTCCGGGAACTAGACAAAAATGATGCATCGAAAGAAACTCCTAGCATTTCAGTTGAATTTTTTCAGTTTTTTTGTGTGCTTCTTTTTATGTGATGTAACTCTTTAGTAATGCAACTGACAAGATACAGCGAAATTTGCCTGGCAATAAATTGTGCAATGTAGTGTTTGTGTTCGCATTATTTAAATTTATTACAGGAAAACATTAATTTGAATATTATGTTATAGTTATACAGTGATAATTTTTGTTCTGGGTGAAGCATATCTGTCTACCCTTTCTCAGCGTGGTTATTTTACAGCTAAGTCATTTTCTGTAACAGTCTAAAGCAGCGTTTCTCAAACGTTTTTCACCGAGGCACCCTTGTCGGGTAAAAAAAATAATTAACGGCACACCTAACCTTAAAGAGGTTTAAATACTCAGGAAAAGAAGAAGAAAAAAACTGTAAATGTAATGTACAGTTGTCCTTAATGCGATGAATGAAACTGTTTGGACAAATTTTTCATTATTTCCTTTGTTTATGGTAAGTTTAGTTAATTGTACTCTCAGATCACTTGAAGGTTTCTCCTGTATCTGTTTTTTTAATGTAAGCGTACGTTGAGAATGCACTGCAACCTTGCTAATGGCAATGTTTTCTGAATACACGTACATCCATAACTCTTCTCGGCTTTCTTTATGGTAATCTTTATTTTAAACTGCTGTCTTCATTGATCTCAAGCAGATTTGGAAAAATTCTTGATTATTGCCGCACCCAGTTTGAGAACCACTGGTCTAAAGGATACTGTTTCATAACTTCCTTGTAGTTGACTGTGTCCCTGATGTCTGTAGACAAATGAAAAAAATAAGTCAATTATAAATCAGCAAACATATCAAGAGATGGACGACCATCAGTCTGACAGAGTGTTTTAACAAGACAACAGACAGATAGTACTGGAGATCCATTGCAGCCTACCTTCATTGTGGAGATGACACCTGACTGATTGAAACACAACATCAATGTATCATCATCATCATCATGTAGCAGGTCCTTTGCAGAATTTCACTCTCATCACAGTCTGCCTAAAAGAAACTCGGTCTCTCGTCAGTTCTCCCGTCTCATGAACTTTCACACTCAAGGAGTCAATTATATCCTGTGCCCATCTTCGTGTCGGTCAGCCCCTGACCCTCCTTCCTGGTACCATGCCTTCTGCTATAATTGTTTCCAGTCCGTCGTGGCGCTTGATATGACCAAAATATTTCAGCTTTCGAGAAAGGATGCTGCTTATTAGCCAATCTTCTTTGATGTTCAGATCTTTTAAGATGTCAATATTTCTCATCTTCTTTGTCCAAGATATTCTGAGAATCTTTCTAAAGCATTTCAGCTTAAAAGCCCCTATTCTCTTTCTTAAGGACTGAGAGATAGTCCACGACTCACATCCGTATGTAGCCACAGGCTATACTGTGGTAAAATATTAACATATAAAAGTGTATATAATATAATATTATTATATTATAGATTATTTTTATATTATTAAATAATATTAATATTAAATAATATAAAAAACATATTAAAATGTATACTGTGGTAAAATTTTAACAGAAACATCTACAAAGTATAACTGGCTATCACAAATTGTTTTTCCAGCATAAACATAACATTTCACAATTACAAATTTTCTTCTTCAGCATTCCGAGCCCATACACGATGAAGACTTGTTGGGCATATTATTAGGTCAATTTGTAGAGGAGGACTGGGGGGGGGGGGGGGGGGGGGGCATAGTGGTCAGACACTTGCCTGATGGCCTGAAGGTCTTTAGTTCAAATCTGCACTAATCTGATTTCTATTTCTTGACATTTGACCCTGACTCCTAGGGTCAATCCAGCCTAATTGGGTACAAGGTAATGTCACAGGAAGAAAAGGTGGCCGGTATGATGTTGATCACATCACCAAATAGGGGCTGATTGGTTTAAGTAGATATTGTAGTATATTCCCCCCCCCCCCCCTCCCAACAACGTTTATCTTCTTCTTCGTGTTCACTGGCTGTGAACTCCGACAAAGTCCTGGTTGTTTGTCCACTTCTGAACTTGTACTCTTTTTCCAGAACCTGAATTTTACATGCACACCCGTTTCACAGATCTGGCTTATTTGTAAGTAGACTGTTGGTTCTTGCCACTCAGGCAGAATCACTCAGACTCCAAAGGAAACAACTTGAGCTACCCTCAAAATGAATTTAAAAACCTTAAAAAGCCAATCTGTGCAATGTAAAACGAGTGATTACATCACTACATGGGATTTTTTTTTTTAAAGAAGTCCTTTGGTTAGATATGATGCGAACAAAATGATAGATATGATGCGAACAAAATGATAGATATGATGCGAACAAAACGATAGATATGACGTAAACAAAATGATAGATATGATGCGAACAAAACGATAGATATGATGCGAACAAAATTATAGATATGATGCGAACAAAATGATAGACATGATGCAAACAAAACGATAGATATGATGCGAACAAAATGATAGATATGATGCGAACAAAATGATAGATATGATGCGAACAAAATGATAGATATGATGTGAACAAAACGATAGATATGATGCGAACAAAACGATAGATATGATGCAAACAAAACGATAGATATAATGCGAACAAAACGACAGATATGATGCGAACAAAATGATAGATATGATGCGAACAAAACTCGATTTTACCAATGTTTGCTGGGAATGGAACTTCAAGAACTGCAGGATCCAGATTTATAACATATGGTGGAGATTTCTTTGTATGTAGATGTGCCGTCAATCTCTGTGACCAAAAAAGAATAATTAAAAAAAGTCAGGTTTTTTTAAAAATCAACTCAGGAATACAATAATAAATATTAAACCGGCAGCACTCACTGCACTGGACTTAACGAGAGACAGTCTAAAGGTGATTTTTGCCTGGTTTTAAAGTGAAACCCCAAACACAATAACATGGTTTGGTGTTTAATTAGACTTTTGGAACACAAACATACAAGGAAATTAATAACTTTTCTTTTTAAGCAGACATAAGTTAGATGTTTATATTTTACAGGACGTCGCAAACCAACCCCAGCATTTCTTGGCTGTTGAGGTTTTTCTATGCACATTTTACATTCAATAGTCTGCCACTGCTTCTGAACGGTCAGTTCTCTGTACCACTGTCAAAACCAATGCTAGACGGTCTGCTGCCTAACTGCCTGCAACTGGGATCGAACCCAGCACCTCGGCATTACAAAGCGCACAATGCCTAAGCCACAAACATTGACCACAAAAAAACTAAACTAGATGGCTGGGACTCACAAGCAAATAAAATGAAGGAAGCTGCAGGAGATGCGGTAGCTGCTGCTCGTGAGTCCCAGCCATCTAGTTTAGCCCCAATCCACACGGTGGGTAGCGGCGTGGGAGATACTTTCGGCAGTGGCAGTAGTCGTCGGAAATGCGTAATTTAAGTAGCAATTTTATTTGACTGAGGCCCTGTTAGGGCATATTTTCGGCCTCAATAATTTGGGACCGTTATTCGGAAGATAGCCGGTAGTTTCTTGGCCTCGATAATTTGGGACCATTATTCGGAGTATAGCCTTTTCCGTTTGTTTCTTCAGCATCCAGCTGTTATGACATGTTTTAAAAGTAAAATCTCATGAGATTTGAATAAACTAGCTTCAATTATTATAATTCAGCAGGAAGTGAGTAAGAGTTAAAGAGTAAAGAGGAGACAGAAGTAATATAAATATTTGGCTCTCCTCCAAACGGCATCATAATATGGCGGCCATAATATGAGGCCGTTCGGAGGAGAGCCATTCTGGCCATAAAATATCCAAACGGTGTTCAGGCAAATCTAAAATACGGACTTTCTGCGAAGGAACAAATCTCGGCAAAACTAGGATTACTTGACAATCAATATCAACATTGCACACGGTAGTAGCAGACGATAATACTGACCGTTGACAATTTCGAGCGTTTCTGCAGACGATACTAGCAGACGATATTAGCGACCGTTGACAATTTCAAGACATTACAAACGATGAAAGCGATTAGCAATACTGTTTTTCCGATTGGAGGATTTAGCAGCGGTAGATGTCAGACTTGTCGGCAAGGGCAAAACGCGATTAAACTCATCGCCGAGCGTATCCCCCACGCGGTTACGCGCGCCACGGATGGGGGGCTAAACTAGGTGCCTGGGACTCACGAGCAAAGTAATTGGAGGAAGTTGCAGGAGATGCGTTAGCTGCCGCTTGTGAGTCCCAGCCATCTAGTTTAGCCCCTATCCGCGCGTAGCGACGCAGGGGATACCCTCGGCGGTGAGGCATAGTCACAGAAACAGGTCTGCAAGTAACATATCGCTGGGACCCTGTTAACTGTTAGAGCATTTGTTTCGTTTTTCCGAGCCGATCCTAGATTTGCCGCGATTTGTTCGTCGGCAGAAAGTTTGACAATGGAAAGTGAAAGTGTCAACGGTCGCTATTATTTTTATCATCTGCTACTATCGTCTGCAGTGTTGCGTGCGTCTCTTAGAATTGTCAGGTAATCAGAAACAATAAGAAACAGGTCCGCAAGTAATATATCGCTGAGACCCTGTTAGTAGGGACCACAGTTTCGGAAATTTGCTATCTTTTCGACAATTTCCGTTACCATAGAAACCGTTTAAAACTTGTTTCGGAAATGTCGGCTGGGGTTTCGGGATGGGTCCTAATCTCTCATGAAATTTTGCCATTGGTGTGATTTTCACCCACTCTAAACAGCTGAAAACGGCGGGAAGGAACCCGATTAACAGCGCATGTCTACGACAGCCGGACATTCTGTTTTTCTGTTAGTCTATCAGTTTGATTGAAAATAGCGGTAAATTCGAGGTTGGCTTTAGGCTTAAACATTACCAGTTGTGGTAATGCTAGTTACAATTGAATTCTCCGTCCAATTTTACATTTGCATATTAAATTTTTTTTCCCGACTCTGGCTGTTTAGATTTACAGTGACATTTTTTAGGCAATCGCATGCGGCTGAGTGAGCTGAGTCTCACTGCCTGCCATCTTGTCCAATGACAGTCCAATGTCAACAAAGCCGATACAGAACTGCGCAGTAGGTTGCGCAGTAAAAAACTTCTTGTTTCTGGGTCACAAGTTTTAGCGGCTGTTTCTTACATCTCATCTCCACCAAAACCTACATATCTCAGCTCAGAAATGACATACAAGCCTAAATGAGGTACCATTGGAAAGAGATTGTTTACAGCTATCTAACTGTGCTGGTTTTATTGGTGTAGAGGGCATTTTAAAAATTTGACTGAAGTACCTACTGTTAGAGCATTTTTGTTTCGTTATACAGAGCCGGCATATTTTTAATATAACTTGAGCCCCATTCGGATATTTTTGGAAATTTTATGGCCAGAATGTGGCGCTTTTCCGAACGCCGTCATATTATGATGCCGTTCGGAGGAGAGCCAAATATTAAATTAAATTAAATTTATTTATTTTAATTTAATTAATCACAACTTGTTTAGACCTGAACAAAACTTGTCTTTCCGGAACCTGCCATTCCTAGAACAATTATACATGTTGGCTTTGAGGTCGTCTGTGATTCTGACTTGCCAGCTGCATCACCTCCTGCCTGTATCTGTATGTTACCACTGTCTAAATCTTCCATTTTCGAATCGTTACTAACAACACTATCAATCCGGTCTTGACTGTGCGCTGCCATCTTTATGAATTATTTACATCCGGTCAGGAAATTCTAGTCAACAATAGTTTGTAGCCACATTAATTTGGTACACGGAAACACGGGTTTGAGGAGTATGGTCTGGATTTTCTGTCCGCCGGTGTGTTGGGAAATGAACAGACGGACGGACTGGCTGGTTCTATACAACTTGGTGGAATACTCATGCATGATAAGGCAGACGTGTTAGTGCCTTGTGGGAGAGCGTGTACAGTTAGGGGAGCAGATGGATCACCACAGTCTGGTGAGATTGATGCAACGGGGAGTGACAAGAGGTTCTGGCAGATGCTCATGGTTCAGAGGAAAGGTAAGACGGACGTTTAATCAAAATTCTACTGGCACTATCAGTATCGAAACACTTCACTGGCTGCAGAAGATGGGTACGGAGTGCTTATGGGATGCACCGAGTGCTGTGATGTCGGTTCTTGAATCAATTCAACTCAACAGGAACAATAGGCTTGATCTAAAGTTCGGAAGTAAATTATGGACAAAAGACAGATTAATAATGTTCACGATCACTGTTAGACCTATATTAGCAATGCAGAGGCTAAACATCATGAAAACCCAATAGCACAGCACCGTCATTGTCTGGTAATGATAGCTCCATATTAGAATGAATACGCTGTTTATAATATGTCTGGTATATAATGGCACTCGCTTTCCTGCATATAGTTTGTATTTCTCTGTCAAATCTGCCATCATCTATGATCACACTTTCTTGATATTTATATTCCCTGACTTTAAACCATAACCATTCAGCTTTATGTGTTGTGGTCTAGGGGTTCTACTAACTTGGATTGTTGCAGTTTCGTTTGCATTAATCTCCATGTTGTATTTACTGTATGCTGTGTTTAACCTGGTGTGGTCTTGTAATCTATCTTCTTCGCTCTAGAATAAGCACTGGTCGCCAGGGGTCTTCTCTTCAGGTGGCCAGACCATCTCATTTGTTGTTATTTAATAAATCGTTTGACTGGTTTCAGTCCTATTCTTCTTGTAATTTCTGTATTCCTGATTTTATCTCTTCTTGTCACACCGACAGCTCCCCTAAGACATTTCATCTCTGTCATCGCTTAAATCAAACCTCTTACCAGTTCAAACACATGACGGCAATGTTTTCCACCGCTGGATACTCAAGGATATCAGGTTTCTTTTCTTGTTGCTTCGTTGGTTACACTGGCTGTGGTAGAAACAACAGGCGAGTTGGAGTTTGTAGCTACCCTTGCGGCGTTATCAGTTATTTCTGGGGTGGTGTCTATTCAAAGGTGGAACCTTTTAATAAATCAACGGTGTATTTAACTTCAGGAAGAGTCTTGTCAACAAGGGCATCACAGTGCAGCAGATGTTTAAGAGTGCACAGTTTCCTAACGTCCATGGAATTTAGCAAAATGTTGCCTTCTTTCTGGGAGAAGTCCGGGTAGATGGAACCCGTTAGCTTTGCACAGCAGTCCATCTAGGAGACGGCAAACTCCTAATTTAAACCCCAAAGTTCAAGGTGGGCCAACGTGCTGAAGAACTTGATGGCCACGGGTGAGCTGGTCGTGAACGTTGGACGTCTGGCGGGCGGGCGTGCGGGGCGGCACCAGGCGTATGGACTCCTACGGGACATCCATTGCCCCTTCCTTAGCAGGCAGGCAATACTTGGGCGACCGGTCATTTCCTGCAGTACTCTATTTTTTCGTATGGATTTTAAAAATATACATAAGAATCGTCGCCGGAGCTACAGGGCACGTGCTCTGCGCTTGACACATTAGTCAGCGGTTAGTGAAGAGGGAGTGAGGAGGAGACGACGAGGAAATGGGGAGAGAAGAAGGCATAGAAATAGGAGGGCGGGAGCTAGGAGAACAAGGCGAAAAGCGGAGAGATTGAGCTTTAATCATGTAAGAGTAGGATACTGGAACTGTCGGAGTGCTAGGCAGAGAGGTCCTGTACTGGAGAGGTTGATTTCTGATTTTGATGTCATCATGCTCCAGGAGCTAAATACAGACAGATATCATTGCCCGGGGTACGTCAGTTATATAAACCCTGTTGGACAGGAGAGACATGGACAAGGTCTGGTGGTGAAGGAAGGGGTGAAGCGTGTTGTGCTTGACTTGATCCAGTGGAACCACAGTGGACGAGAGGTTCAAGGGATACAGGTTGAAATGGGTGGCTTTAACTCTTTGAGTCCCAGGGGGTTTCGCATCACAGGCCCAGGGGTAGTGAATAGAGTTATAAAATCAGCACACCATGCGTTCATTGGGCTTCTAGGTAGAAACCTATGAACGTGTGACGCGTTCCTTGGGACTCAAAGAGTTAAGTTAGAACCTCATAAATATATAAGCCACGGTAGACTGTTTTGTCAGAAATGAACAATGGAGCGGGCTCAAGGAATTGGAGAAGTTACCAGGTGATAGGTTACTCATATGTGGGGATTTCAACGCGAGGAACGGAGAACGGGACAGCAGTGGAGAAAACCGACAGGGAATTGCTCTTGCAGAGGCCATGACTGACTCCGATATGGTCTGCATCAATGATGGGAGGCCGACTAGAATGGCAATGAGGTCTAGAGATGCAGACACAGCCGTTGACTTGACATTTGTCTCTCAGTCGTCGGTTTTAGATGTTAAATGGACTGTCCTGAATGACCATGGGAGTGATCACCTACCATGTTCAGTCTTGATTTCTAAACTCAGTAAGGTTTAGGTTGGGAGAGCACGCAAGACCTTCCAGTATAAGTGGACCAACAACCTACTTGGACGCCTCAGACGGGGAGCATGCAAAAGAACTGCCAGAACTAATTTTCTACAGCCCTCATGGTGGACTCCAGAAGTAGAACAGGCGTGGAAGGCAAAGAGAGCCGCAGTGAAGCAGCTAAAGAAAGTACGACAGACACCCTCAAGCTCACGAGAGGAAGTGAAGATGGCGGAGAATGTGAAAAAAGGTAAGGTGGAGGTTTTCAAGCGCTGTGCTGCAGGGGCCAAAAGAGCAAAGTGGGAAACTTTTGTGAATGACATGGGAGGCGATAAAACATTGAGGAAATTCTGGAAACTGCAAAGGCAGATGCAAAGAAAAGATCGGCCTATGACAGTCGGAACAATTTGCAGAGTCGATGGTGTGCGTGTGACAACAGACAAGGAGAAAGGGGAGGTTTTTCTCCATAGGTTTATAGCTCAGACAGATCATAATGATGTAGACACCAGGGATGCAGTTAGAAAGGAGTTAGCTGGCACCTTGAATAATATGCATTATGAAGACATGATACAAGTGGAAGATATCAAACAAATTTTGAAAAAAGCAAAAGACACTGCATCAGGGCCTGATGGTGTCAGGTATGGTCACATGAAGGCTTTGAGCGATGTAGACCTGGCAGAGATGGCCGACTGTTTTAACCAGAGTATTAAGACAGCATCAGTACCGCAAGACTGGGTGCACAGCTATCTAATCCCACTACCAAAACCTTTTAAAGATCATTCTAAGCTTAGTGGCTTTAGAATCACCACCTTACAAAACACATTTGGGAAGGTCTTGGAGAAGATAGTAGCTGTAAAGTTACAAGAATTTTTGGAAAGGGGGAAGCTTCTCCCAAGAGGTCTGGGAAGTTACAGGCCAGGAAAGGACACTTGGGAAAATGCGGCCACTTTTGATTTTGACGTCTATGAAGGGTTCCAGAACAGACAGGAAACTATGGCGATAGGACTGGATCTCGAGGATGCTTATAACAGAGTGAGATACGACATCTTAATGACTGCACTGAGGGAGAAGGAGGTCAATCCATGGCTGGTGAATTGGGCTGCAGCTGTCCTGTATTCACGTCGGGTTGCTCTCCGACTGGGCTCATGAACCTCTGAACCATGCACTTTGGTCCCAGGACTGCCACAGGGATCCCTCATCTCGCCTGTACTCTTCAACGTCTATACGAGCAAGATTGCAAGCCTAGAAGCACCAGGAGTTGGAAGGATACTGACTTTTGCGGATGATATACTTGCATATAGGCAGGGGAAAGAGAGGGAACAAACAGCTCGGGAGCTACAAGCGACAGTTGACAAAGTGACTGAGAGGTGTACAGAAATGAAGGCTGTCGTCCACCCGGAAAAGGCGTCTGTTTTGTGGTGTTCTCTGGACAACAGAATCGTAAAAATTATGTCCTAAGTCTCACGATAGATAGTAGAGACGTCAACAGAGAGAGCAAACTGAAGTATCTGGGAATTACATTTGACAGGAGCCTGTCATTTAAGGACCATGTGGAGAGTGTTGTGACGAGATACCAAAAAGGACTTAGTGTACATATGACTTTGGCTGCAATTGACATAGAGCAGAGAATGCTTTTCACACTATATCAGCACCTGATCTTGTCAGTGGTGGATTATGGTCTGGGGCTGCTTACCGTCTCAAAGAGTCAGGTGGACAAACTAGAGCGCATACAGAACGCGGCTATGCCGGTCATTCTGGGTTGCACCAGAGACACCCCAGTGGTGTGTATGCGATACATCCTTGGTTTGCATTCGGTTGCAGGTAGGCACAAGGTGATGCAGGCGAAGTCATATCTCAGGGTAGTTGCAGACACAGACCACCCTCTGCATGAAGCTCTGGGTGCAGTTAAGGGTCAGCGGCTGATAAGAGGGAGGTCATGAATGGCTCAGGCATGCGACACAATCAGACAGGTTTGCATCCTTGAGAACATTAGGTGAGAAGAGGAGTGGGTCAAAGTGCCACCTGAGCAGTCAGACTTGTGTAGAGTCCTAATCACGCTGAGCCGGGAATGCAGAGACTGGCCAGCAGGTGTCACAGAGGTGGAAATTTAGCAATTAATTCAAGATAATGCTCGCTCAGAGGATTTGATCATTTACACAGACAGTTCATTGTCAAGAGGTAAAAGAAGTGCTTGGGGCTTTTTAGCAAAAGTTAATGGACGACGTTTGGTGCCGGAGAGCCTAGCATATGATACCACAACATCCAGCTTAAGAATGGAGGTGGAGGCGGTCACTGCAGTTTTCGGCTGGCTAGAGAACACGACACACACACGCATTGTAATTGTAACTGATTCAGAAAGCATGCTGAGGAAGATCAGAACAGGTATGCTTCGTGCAGAGTGGTATGCTTCGCTGCCGAGGACACAAGTGAGGAGTATTGTCTGGATTTTTTCACCGTGTCATGCCGATGTGTTGGGAAATGAACAGGCGGACAGACTGGCTGGCTCTGCACAACTTGGTGGAATACTGCTACATGATAATGCAGACGTGGTTAGTGCCTTGTGGGAGAGCGTGTACAATGCGGAGGAGCAGATGGATCACCCCAGTTTGGTGAGATTGATGCAGTTGGGGGTGACGAGAGGTTCTGGCAGAAGCTCAAGGCTCAGAGGAAAGGCAAGACGGACGTTTAATCAGAAAGCTACTGGCACCATTAGTATCGGAACTCTTCGCTGGCTGCTGAAGATGGGGACGGAGCGCTTATGGGAATGCCCCGAGTGCTGTGATGTCGGTTCTTGAATCAAATCAAATCTCTGTTGGTACGATATTCCACTTATTAGTTGTAGCAAGGGTCCATGTTTGGCACTGGTAGCACAGTGTTGGCCAAAAACCGTTCTTATGAGATTTGCTTTGGTTGACAGATGTATCTTTCTATGCGTCAGAAACAGTGTTGATTGTCCCATAACCTAATTTGCTTTCGCACATCGTATGATGCTTTCTCCAACCATTCTTCCATCTGAGCTGAAAAATGACCCTAGGTATATAAACTGGTTCGTTTGTTTTATTTCTGTGTTATTTACTTTAACCAATATGGTTTCTTCTTGTCTGCCTATTACCATTACCTCTGTCTTATCGATGCTTATCTTCATATTATATTTCTCACACTTAGTATTGACTTGGTCTATGTGGTTATGTAAACTACCCTCTGTTTCAGCTATTAATACTTGGTCATCTGCAAATAACAATTCTGAGATATCATTCATTTCTTCGCTCTCTGCTTCTTTGCATATATTGTCAATGTATGTTATAAAAAGCAGAGGAGATAGCAAACATCCATGTCTTACTCCTGAGTGCATCTGCTTAAGAGGCAAGGAATCAACAGTCTGCATACAAATAAGCCAGATATGTCAAATTAATGGATGTGCATGCAAAACTCAAGTTCTGGAACTTAAGTTCAGAACAGGATGAAAAACAATAACTTTTTTTTGTGTGTGGTGAGCGTGGAGAAGAAGAAGAAGAAAAACTAGGAGAAGAAGAAGAAAAACTAGGAGGAGAAGAAGAAGAAGAAAAACACTGCAAACAATGACTAACAATTGTTTATATATATATATATATATATATATATATATATATATATATATATAGTTTTAATCATACCCATCAAAGCTGGCACTGGTGCATTCATAAACAGCGTCTCTGCTGTTTTTTATATGCAGATACTCTTCGCAGTTCTCACACCCATCAAATTCAAACTGCTCAAAAGTCGTGGTGTATAAAATGAAATAAAAAGAAAATGTCTGTGACAAACGAATACATTACAAACTATCAATAATTCTCTTATACCTTATGTTGCTGTAAACCTGTGATCTGCTAGGAGCTGCGGCAGCATATTGGCTGAAAGCTTACCTGCCAGCCTGAACGTCTTGAGATCAAATCCACACTAAGGTGTATTTTCTGACCCTAGTTCCCAGGTTGACACAGATTAAAATGTGTAAGAGATTATGTCCTGGCAAGTCAAAGTGGGTGGCCTGATGATGACCACACCATAAACTGAGCATTGATCAAGCAATTAATCAGCATGTCCTTTATAGAATGTCGCTCTCTGTCGTTCTTTATTACATTCATTAACAAACATAACAAACTTATAAAAACCGTACTAGAGAGGAGGAAGTGAAGGGCAGCGGACAAAAGGTAGAAATTACAAAAGAACGTCTCAAACGCCTTTTTAATGACCAATTTACAATAAGAAATAGATAAAAAAGAAAGCAGAAGACAGTGTTAAAAATTATTAACAACTTGAGCTCGAATTATAAGAATTACGAAGAGACTGCAAGTTGTAAGAATTGTTGCTTCCTGTTTGCAAAATCGCTAGTGTTTGACGACGTTCTGTCACACTGAAAAGCGACGATAATAACTATTTCAGAAATAATTTAATACTGAAGGATGTCATTGGAGACTGTCCCCAAAGAATTACGAAATCTGAGAGCATGTTTACTGTGCTCTCTTGTTAAAGTAAGTTAACTATACATACGGGTTAATGTTATGAAGTATTAATATTAACTATATATATATATTGTTTCATTGTTTGTAATTGTTGGAGTTGGGGGACACTGACTGTTTGTTGTGTTGTCACTGTTGTGCTCAAACTGAATTGAATTGATTGATAGAACTAGAGCTGATACTCAACTGATAGTGATAGTTGTGTTTTAGTTATATTTTAAATTTTATTTCAACAGAATTAGGAATACTCTTACAAAATGTCATTTATCAGCATTAAGTTTAAGACAATGGCTGAGAATATTATTATTTGGCAGCGTATTTCTCACATGTGAGTTTAAATCATTTAAGGTCGTGGTTACTGAACTTACTGAAGTGTTTGATTGTGTGGGATGGATACAATTTCAAACGGTAACACAACAGTGATTAATGACTTCATCTCCTTAAAGTCCATACCGTGTGGCGTTGATAGTCATGTCTGTCCACAACCTTCCGTCTCGTGTACTTTCAGTCAACTCTGACACAAATGATCTTATTCCATGATATGATGTCACCATCCAGCATATATTCTCATGGTCTGCCTCTCCTCCCCTCCAACTTTGATGTGCTCCAGTTTTCTCCTTCTCATCACATGACCGTGATTTGATTCAAGAACCGTCATCACAGCACTCAGGGCATTCCCATAAGTGCTTCATCCCCATCTCCAGCAGCCAGTGAAGAGTTCCGATACTAATGGTGCCAGTAGCATTCTGATTAAACGTCCATCTTGCCATTCCTTTGAGCCTCGAGCATCTGCCAGAACCTCTCGTCACCCCCAACTGTACAAGCTCTCCCACAAGGCACTAACCACGTTTGCTTTATCATGCATCAGTATTCCATCAAGCTTGCAAAGCCAGCCAGTCTGTTCATTTCCCAACACACTGGCATTCCCTGTTGAAAAAATCCAGACAATACTCCTCACCCGTGTCTTCCGCAGCGAGGCATGCCACTCTGCACGAAGCATGCCTGTCCTGATCTTCCTCAGTATGCTTTCTGAGTCAGTTACAATCACAATGTGTGTGTGTGTCGTGTTCTCTAGCCAGCGGAAAGCCGCAGTGACCACCTCCACCTCAATTCTTAAACTGGATGTTGTGGTATCATATGCTAGGCTCTCCTGCACCAAACGTTGACCATTAACTTTTGCTAAGAAACCCCAAGCACTTCTTTTGCCTCTTGACACTGAACCGTCTGGGTAAATGACCAAATCCTTTGAGCGAGCATTATCTTGAAATAATCGCTGAATTTCCACCTCTGTGACACCTGCTGGCCAATCTCTGCATTCCCGGCTCAGTGTGATTATGACCCTACACAAGTCTGACTGTTCAGGTGGCACTTTGACCCACTCCTCTCCTCGCCTAATGTTCTTACGGATACAAACCTGTCTGATTGTATCTTCTGCCTGAGCCATCCATGACCTCTCTCTTATCAGCCGCTGACCCTTAACTGCACCCAGAGCTTCATGCAGAGGGTGGTCTGTGTCTGCAGCTACCCTAAGATATGACCTCACCTGCAGCACCTTGTGCCTACCTGCAATAGTCGGCAAACCAAGGATATATGGTATACACACCACTGGGGTGTCTCTGATGCAACCCAGAATGACCCGCATTGCTGCGTTCTGTGTATCACATGACCAAAGAATGTAGATTATCTCTTTCTGATGTGGGCAGTCAGTTCTCAGCTTCTCTTTATGAGTCAAATTCTTTCAAGACATCTTCATTATTCTGTTTATCTGTTCAGGATATTCTCATCATTCGTCTATAAATAAAACCACATCTCTGCAGCTTCCATATCTTCCATCCAGACTACTGTACTAAAATATGATTGCTTTACTTTTTTTTAAAATTTGCTGTGAAGATAGCATAGCCATAACTAATTAAGTGTCCCTCATTTTTTATCAGCTTTGCTTTATTAAAAATTAATGAAATATCTAGTTAAAAACCACATACATAAGAAGTGCTGTGCAAATAAATTTAAACACAACAGTAGTTATAATTGTTACATCATATAACTGCTAACTAATTATAACTTGTTTGGAGTTATATGATGTAATAACAGCATCCTGAAGTTCTGCCGGTGTGAAAGGAAATGAAAGAGTCAATAAACTGATTGTGTCTGCAGTGGTTTTTGGAGAAAGAAGAGGTAGGGCAGACATGCTAATGAGAATGTGCTGCATTCTAGAGACTTTGATGAAGAAGGCAGTGAGTGAGTGACGCTGAACTGCCTGTTGGTATTTGGTATTAAACGAGGCCAAGCATGCAAAAACTGGTTGCTAGGCAAAGAAAGAAGATATGCCAGTCAACTTCTACTGGGTACGTTGAGCATGGAGACACTAAGATGGCTGCCACATTGGAAGACAGAGCATGACTAGGTCAGATTGATGGGCTAGAATGTCGATAGGGACTGCAAGTAACAATGGCAGCAAATATAGTTTTTTTATTGTCAAGTAATTCCTTGTGAAACATTAATCAAAATACTACATATTGTTGTCTCAAGAGATCTCAATTAATCTGGTCTGGTAGTCCTAGTTTCAGCTTCATAGCAAACAGGTAACCCCATCTTTGCTCCCCTCCTGTGCCAACGAAAAAAACCAGAATGTTTATCACAGTCCCTTGTGGAAAGATTGACAGACTGCTGTCTCAGCATATCTAGCATACTCTCGCATTAAAGCGTACGGTAGCCATCCGAAGTGCTAACACAAACAGTCCGACATTAGAATGCAGTTTGCCATTGATGGTAGCAGAAGTCACTAACAGATTTGTTTTAATTACATACGGGCACCACCAAAATTGCAACGACAGGCATAGCGCCATTTTCTGAATCTACAATTCGCACCACCACGTTGGTCACAGTCGAAAAAACATTCCAACTGAAATCCACAGCTCACAGTGTCACGCCATGCATTCAACTCAGAAGCTGGGCGACGAAACTATATCCAGTCTACAAATGGAACAAAAATGTATCAGCCACCATCCGGCAGAAGCAAAAAATTTGCCTCGGCTCTAAACAGTGACCGTGCCTAGGGTCCATTTTGACAATTAATCTAGACCAGTGGTCTCTAACGTTTTTGGAAAATGAGGCAGTGGTCAACCTCTCAAAGGTGGATCAGGATTCTGAAGATGCACTGGTTATGAAAGCACATGGCCTTGGTGAATTGACTTGAGAAAGAGATTTTCAGGTGTGCCCTGAGGAGAGCAACATTCTATAAAGGACATGCTGATTAATTGCTTGATCAGTGCTCAGTTAATGGTGTGGGCATCATCAGGCCACCCACTTTGACTTGCCAGGACATAATCTCTTACGCATTTTAGACTGTCAACCTCGGAGCTTGGGTAAGAAAATGCACCTTAGTGTGGATTTGATCTCAAGACGTTCAGGCTGGCAGGTAAACTTTTTAGCCAAAATGCTGCCGCAGCTCCCAGCAGATCACAGGCTTCCAGCAACATAAGGTGTAAGTGAACTATTGATAGTTTGTAATGTATTCGTTTGAAACAGATATTTTTTTTTTCCGTTTCATTCTGTACACTAGACCTTTGAGCAGTTTGAGTTTGATGGGTGTGAGAACTGCGAGGAGTATCTGCACATGAAAAACAACAGAGATGCTGTTTATGAATGCACCAGTGCCAACTTTGATGGGTATGATTGACACTTATATATATATATATATTTTTTTTTTTTTAATTTGTGGTTATTGTTTTTGGTGTTTTTCTTCTGCTTCGCGCTCACCAAAAAAGTTATGGTTTTTCATCCTGTTCTGGACTTTAGTTCCAGAACTTGAGTTTTGCATGCACATCCATTAATTTGACATATCAAGCTTATTTGTATGCAGACTGTTTCCTTGCCTCTTAACTCTTTCTGTCCAAAGGAACGCATCACACATTCATAGGTTACTGTCTAGAAGCCCAATGAACGCATGATGCGCCGATTTGATGTCTCTTTTGACTACCCCTTGGGCCTGTGATGCTAAACCCCCTGGGACTCAAAGAGTTAAGCAGTTGCTCTCCAACTTCAGAGGAAGCCCCTAATGAAAAAACAAGGAAAGTATCCTTTTCAAAGCCTTTAGGCATATTGGGCTAGACCTATATTTTATAGACCTACTAACACTTGGTGGGTGATGTAGTCAATAACATGCTGGCCACCTCTACTTCCCAGGACTGCACTTGGTACCCACTCAAGGCTTTGTCAACCTCAGAGCCAGGGTCGTTTTGAAAAAAAAAAGTCCGGCTCCATCATGACCCGAACCCACGACCTTCCGATCCGCAGGCGTGCATCTAGCCGCTATACAGTCACTCAAACCCATAATTAATTGACTCATATGATATTCTTGTCAGGGAGGCAGTGGGTCTGTTCTGTGTGGTCTGCCATTCTGTGCCATCAGAATTGGAACTCATCGCTTGTTGCTGAAGATGGGGACTCAGCCATTATGGGAGTGTCCTGAGTGCTGTAATGTCAATTCCTTATTCAACATTCCCCTTGTAATTGTCTATAGTGACCTTTTTTCACATGATTATTGTGATCTTACAGTTTAGCACGCCTGTCAGTTTTCTCCTGTCATCTTTAATGAACCACATTTCAGTGTGTAATTTTGTTTTGAATTTCAGTTTTCAAAAATGAATGTTTTATTTCCCCAGGTTGATAGCCATGATGAGCCCTGAAGACAGCTGGGTGGCCAAATGGCAGAGAATCGGTAAGCTGTGATTTATTAGCTTAGATGGTGCCATATTTATCGTCCCCGTGGTCTAGCGACTGGACGCTCGCGTGTAGATCGGAAGGTCGTGGGTTCGCTCCCCGGCGGAACCGGACTTTTAAAAAAAATGGCCTCGACTCCCAGGTCGACCCAGCCTTAAGTGGGTACTGGGTGCAGTCTTGAGAAGTAAAGGCAGTCGGTGTGATGCTGACCACATCACCCATCTTGTGCCGATTGGTCTATAAAAATATAGGTCTAGCCCTAAATGCCCTGTATGCCTACACGCATGAAAAATGGACCTTTACTTAATTTATCAGTGGGTATGATCTGACTTGTAATCAGCATCTTCTCTCAAAAGCTAAGGTATTTTGACAGCATCCTCTCTTCAAAGCTAGGGTATTTTGACAGCATCCTCTCTCCAAAGCTAGGGTATTTTGACAGCATCCTCTCTCCAAAGCTAGGGTATTTTGACAGCATCCTCTCTCAGAAGCTAGTGTATTTTGACAGCATCTTCTTTCCAAAGCTAGGGTATTTTGACAGCATCCTCTCTCAGAAGCTAGTGTATTTTGACAGCATCTTCTCTCCAAAGCTAGGGTATTTTGACAGCATCCTCTCTCCAAAGCTAGTGTATTTTGACAGCATCCTCTCTCAGAAGCTAGTGTATTTTGACAGCATCCTCTCTCAGAAGCTAGTGTATTTTGACAGCATCCTCTCTCAGAAGCTAGTGTATTTTGACAGCATCCTCTCTCCAAAGCTAGGGTATTTTGACAGCATCCTCTCTCCAAAGCTAGTGTATTTTGACAGCATCCTCTCTCAGAAGCTAGTGTATTTTGACAGCATCCTCTCTCCAAAGCTAGTGTATTTTGACAGCATCCTCTCTCAGAAGCTAGGGAATTTTGACAGCATCTTCTCTCCAAAGCTAGGGTATTTTGACAGCATCCTCTCTCAGAAGCTAGTGTATTTTGACAGCATCCTCTCTCAGAAGCTAGTGTATTTTGACAGCATCCTCTCTCCAAAGCTAGGGTATTTTGACAGCATCCTCTCTCAGAAGCTAGTGTATTTTGACAGCATCCTCTCTCAGAAGCTAGTGTATTTTGACAGCATCCTCTCTCAGAAGCTAGTGTATTTTGACAGCATCCTCTCTCCAAAGCTAGGGTATTTTGACAGCATCCTCTCTCCAAAGCTAGTGTATTTTGACAGCATCCTCTCTCAGAAGCTAGGGTATTTTGACAGCATCCTCTCTCCAAAGCTAGTGTATTTTGACAGCATCCTCTCTCAGAAGCTAGGGAATTTTGACAGCATCTTCTCTCCAAAGCTAGGGTATTTTGACAGCATCCTCTCTCAGAAGCTAGTGTATTTTGACAGCATCCTCTCTCAGAAGCTAGTGTATTTTGACAGCATCCTCTCTCCAAAGCTAGGGTATTTTGACAGCATCCTCTCTCCAAAGCTAGGGTATTTTGACAGCATCCTCTCTCAGAAGCTAGTGTATTTTGACAGCATCCTCTCTCAGAAGCTAGTGTATTTTGACAGCATCCTCTCTCCAAAGCTAGGGTATTTTGACAGCATCCTCTCTCCAAAGCTAGGGTATTTTGACAGCATCCTCTCTCCAAAGCTAGGGTATTTTGACAGCATCCTCTCTCCAAAGCTAGTGTATTTTGACAGCATCCTCTCTCCAAAGCTAGGGTATTTTGACAGCATCTTCTCTCAAAAGCTAGGGTATTTTGAACATGTCCAGTGCTATGATGCTCTGCAGAGAACTGTAATGGAGGATGCAGTTTCCAGAAGATGAGGCAGAGGCTGACCACTGCGAATGGGGATATAGGACTTAAAAGATGCATTGGCTGAGAAAGGACGCAGGGGTGGAGAATTGGCCAGAGAAAGAGACTTTCAAGAGTGTGAGGTTTTGTAAAGGACATGCTGATTGATTAAGTGATGAGAGAAATAATTCTTCAGTAATGAATCAGATCTACATTGATTAAGTGATGAAAGAAATAATTCTTCAGTAATGAATCAGATCTACATTCATTAGGTGATGAAAGAAATAATTCTTCAGTAATGAATCAGACCTACATTCATTAGGTGATGAAAGAAATAATTCTTCAGTAATGAATCAGATCTACATTCATTAGGTGATGAAAGAAATAATTCTTCAGTAATGAATCAGATCTACATTGATTAAGTGATGAAAGAAATAATTATTCAGTAATGAATCAGATCTACATTGATTAGGTGATGAAAGAAATAATTCTTCAGTAATGAATCAGATCTACATTGATTAAGTAATGAAAGAAATAATTCTTCAGTAATGAATCAGATCTACATTGATTAGGTGATGAAAGAAATAATTCTTCAGTAATGAATCAGATCTACATTGATTAAGTGATGAAAGAAATAATTCTTCAGTAATGAATCAGATCTACATTGATTAAGTGATGAAAGAAATAATTCTTCAGTAATGAATCAGATCTACATTGATTAGGTGATGAAAGAAATAATTCTTCAGTAATGAATCAGATCTACATTGATTAAGTGATGAAAGAAATAATTCTTCAGTAATGAATCAGATCTACATTGATTAAGTGATGAAAGAAATAATTATTCAGTAATGAATCAGATCTACATTAATTAGGTGATGAAAGAAATAATTCTTCAGTAATGAATCAGATCTACATTGATTAGGTGATGAAAGAAATAATTCTTCAGTAATGAATCAGATCTACATTAAGTGATGAAAGAAATAATTCTTCAGTAATGAATCAGATCTACATTGATTAGGTGATGAAAGAAATAATTCTTCAGTAATGAATCAGATCTACATTGATTAGGTGATGAAAGAAATAATTCTTCAGTAATGAATCAGATCTACATTCATTAGGTGATGAAAGAAATAATTCTTCAGTAATGAATCAGATCTACATTGATTAGGTGATGAAAGAAATAATTCTTCAGTAATGAATCAGATCTACATTGATTAGGTGATGAAAGAAATAATTCTTCAGTAATGAATCAGATCTACATTGATTAGGTGATGAAAGAAATAATTCTTCAGTAATGAATCAGATCTACATTGATTAGGTGATGAAAGAAATAATTCTTCAGTAATGAATCAGATCTACATTGATTAGGTGATGAAAGAAATAATTCTTCAGTAATGAATCAGATCTACATTGATTAGGTGATGAAAGAAATAATTCTTCAGTAATGAATCAGATCTACATTAAGTGATGAAAGAAATAATTCTACAGTAATGAATCAGATCTACATTAAGTGATGAAAGAAATAATTCTTCAGTAATGAATCAGATCTACATTAAGTGATGAAAGAAATAATTCTTCAGTAATGAATCAGATCTACATTGATTAGGTGATGAAAGAAATAATTCTTCAATAATGAATCAGATCTACATTGATTAGGTGATGAAAGAAATAATTCTTCAGTAATGAATCAGATCTACATTAAGTGATGAAAGAAATAATTCTACAGTAATGAATCAGATCTACATTAATTAGGTGATGAAAGAAATAATTCTTCAGTAATGAATCAGATCTACATTGATTAGGTGATGAAAGAAATAATTCTTCAGTAATGAATCAGATCTACATTAAGTGATGAAAGAAATAATTCTTCAGTAATGAATCAGATCTACATTGATTAGGTGATGAAAGAAATAATTCTTCAGTAATGAATCAGATCTACATTGATTAGGTGATGAAAGAAATAATTCTTCAGTAATGAATCAGATCTACATTCATTAGGTGATGAAAGAAATAATTCTTCAGTAATGAATCAGATCTACATTGATTAGGTGATGAAAGAAATAATTCTTCAGTAATGAATCAGATCTACATTGATTAGGTGATGAAAGAAATAATTTTTCAGTAATGAATCAGATCTACATTGATTAGGTGATGAAAGAAATAATTCTTCAGTAATGAATCAGATCTACATTGATTAGGTGATGAAAGAAATAATTCTTCAGTAATGAATCAGATCTACATTGATTAGGTGATGAAAGAAATAATTCTTCAGTAATGAATCAGATCTACATTAAGTGATGAAAGAAATAATTCTACAGTAATGAATCAGATCTACATTAAGTGATGAAAGAAATAATTCTTCAGTAATGAATCAGATCTACATTAAGTGATGAAAGAAATAATTCTTCAGTAATGAATCAGATCTACATTGATTAGGTGATGAAAGAAATAATTCTTCAATAATGAATCAGATCTACATTGATTAGGTGATGAAAGAAATAATTCTTCAGTAATGAATCAGATCTACATTAAGTGATGAAAGAAATAATTCTACAGTAATGAATCAGATCTACATTAAGTGATGAAAGAAATAATTCTACAGTAATGAATCAGATCTACATTAAGTGATGAAAGAAATAATTCTACAGTAATGAATCAGATCTACATCACCCATTGAGGGCTAATTGATCTATAACAGATATGGGTCTTAGTCCTAGTTCAGGTTTCAACTTCAGTGCAATTAGGTTTCCCCATACTTGCTCCGTTCCTATGCCTGTGCGGATCAAATGAAATGTCCCCTGCTGTCCCATTTGTAAAACTGGTGAACAAATAACAAACACCAGAACAATTATGAAATATGTGCACGCAGTAAATGCAAATTTCAGTTGCTAGAGGCAAATTTCCCCCAGAGTTTACAGCAAGTGAACGTGAAGAAGAAGACTGCTACTGATATCACCAGCACTGGAACTCTTCGCTGGCTGCTGAAAATAAGGACGGAGCACTTCAGGGAATGTCCAGAAATCTTTTATTTCATTCTTAGATCAGCTCAATGAGGGATATACATGTGTTTGTTTTCTCTTTCTCTCAACAGAAAGGTTTACAAAAGGCTGCTATGCAATTTCTGTCACCGGCGCATTACCACCTGGCATTGTGAGGGAGCTGAGAGCTAAAGGTCGTGTGTATAACCCCAGGGACGTCAGCGAACGAACATAATAGCATAGTCACTGTGCGGGCATTGTTAAGAGACACGTGTGTGTTTTGGTTTCTGTTGAAAGAGATATGAGCAGGCTGCAGAGGATTCAGATCTTCACAAATGAATGCTTATCATCTGTCATTGAAGAGTTTGTATGCTTTCATGTGTAAAATGACATTGCAAACACTGTATGAAATCATTTAAAACAGGACAGACCAGGAGTTTATATTTTTATTTATGTTGTGTTTGTAAATTTATCAAGAAATTTTGTTGCTTGATTTTGTTTTCTTGATTGTAATCAAATTATGACATGCCAGCAGTAAATTTGATGAATTAGGGAGGAATCAGATTATACATCTGCCGTGGTGTAGCAGCTAGATGCTTTCCTGTGGATCCAAAGGTGTGGGTTCGAATCTGAACAGAGCTAGACTTTTTTTACTTGAAAATAAAATTTGGCTTCCAGGACAACCTAAGCCATACATGGGGTGCTAACAAAAGTCGTGGAAGTGCTGTGTGTGATGTTGACTGAATCATTCGCAGATTGGTCTGTAAAATGTAGGGCTGGCGCTTTATGCCTGAAGTCATGGAAAAGGGTCCTTTACGTCAGGTTATGTAGGATAGAGGAGGAATGACAAAGTGTATTTGCTGAATGCTTTTTTTTTCTTCTTCAGCTTCAGATATCACTTGTCTTCTTTCATCTCAGTGATGGGCATTCTCTTTCTACTTGGTGACTCCAAGTGTTTGCAGGTCTGCCTATATATTATCTCTCCGCCATCTTCTTGGTCTGGCTCGAGCCCTACCCCTATTACACTTTTTGAATGTTATTGCAACATAAGAAAATTATTGCAGGAACATTCGAATTATGATAAATAAATTTATTCATAAAAATACATAAGAAAATTATTGCAGGAACATTCGAATTATGATAAATAAATTTATTCATAAAAATACAGAAATATTTGGACAACATGAAGGGTGGTAGTTGAGGTTTCAGCTTCACTGTGGACTGGCCATACCGTAACTGCTCAGTTTCCATGCCAGAAGTGGCTGAACAAACAAAATTCAGCCGGTGAACGTGAAGAAGATTTCATCCTGCAGCCTGTCTTTATGATTCGCTACCTCAGTGGGATTTTTTTTAAAGGTTGAGTAGTTGGGCCTATGCTCCACTGGGGGCTAGAAAGGCAGAAGAAACAGTTTCTCAACCAAGTGGTATATTCTATGCCAGCTCACTTTCACAAAACTGGTATCAACCCTGAGGAATATGAAACCTTTCTTTTACCTTGACATGTAGAATATGTTTATAGAATATATCTTCAAGTAAAATTAAAGACATATTAGAAAGTTACGGGGTTTTTGTTGTTGGTGCAAAGTCAGGTAATTGTTAAGGATCTTGTCAATAAAAGCAAAAAAAAATAAACAAAACTGAGTCAGAATTATTATGTTATGTTATAATTTTACAAACACATAAAATATGAAAGCACGTGTGTTTTGTTATAGTACATTTTTGAATTAAACGACTTAAAAACATTAAAATGTATGGTTTGTTACTGTTCTTCACAGCAAATACTGCATGAAGAGTTCATGCTTTTTCAGAAAATCTGGCAGATTTCACTAAAGGTGCTCCTGTGATGAGTACGTCTGTTTGAAATCTTCACGCGTTCTACATCATCATCATTCAGTCCTTGCAGAATGTTGTTGGCATCACAGCCAGTCTGGGGGAAAAAAAATGCCAGATCTCTCACTAACCATAAATATACTGTGCTCATATTCATGCTGTTCGGCCCCTGCCCCTCTTTCCAATCACCATGCCTTCTGCTACTATTCTTTCCAATATGCCTTGGCATTTGATATGGCCAAAATATTTCAGTTTTTGGAACAAGATGTTGTTGACACAGCATGGAAAAACCAAACAGAAAGCACGTTACAAGTCCAATGCAGATTTGCTCATAAATTAAATTCTAACCGCTGACTTACCCTTTCAATACAACTCGCCATGAGTTTCCCTTACGTGACACACTTTATTTTTAATCTCTGTATTCCTTTCTAGCTGGTGCATCAACATGCTATAGCTGGCACCTTTCTGTCTTTCCAGACGACAGCACTGTGCTGTGCTATAACAGGAAGGCAGGAGAACCACAGTGAATGTGACTAACAAGACCCACCCGCCCGCCCTACAGCACAAAGCCTGGAAAGTCTTGTAGATATTCTATCCTAGTATTGACCATAACCTAGAGAATGGAGGGTGGCAGCGTCCCTAAGGACATCCTCTATGGGGAATTAAAGACGGGCAGAAGATGTTGAGGCCGACCTCTACAATGATATAAAGATGTGTGCAAAAGGAATATGAATGATACAGGTATTGAGGTGGACTCAGAACAGAATGCCATGGACCGTGTCGTGTGGAAGAAGCTCATCAGGAAGGAAATGAGAATGAAGGAAGAAATTATATGCAGAACGGATGAGAAGAAGCACATAAAACACAAATACTGACAATGACAACAACAGTCCTGAAATCCGATGCTATATAATTTTGGAAGACTTTTCTTGATACTTGCTGGTCACACTCGCCATCACCATGGGCTGTGAGTCTCATGCCTCCTCAATATGCAAATTACACTATTGTTTGGAAAGACGGAAATCTGCCAATCCAATCCAACTAATTTTTACTTATAGTGTTAATTTTTGAACCCATTCAACCCCAGATTCTCAGTAACAAATGTTGAGAATATCAAAATGCCTACCTGGGACCCAGAGAGTTAAGTATATGGTTTGCTATAACTTTGAGGAAAACCAACAACTACTAAACATAATTGTATACATACAGCAAGAAATATTTTACCAGCACTACAGTCCATTCAAAAAGTCAGGCCAAACTTTAAAAAGCTTTGACTCAGTCACTATTTTGTATAAAGTGTTGAAATTTGGCATGCAACCTGTTAATAATCATGTCCTTGTTGGAAAATAATTATAATGCAAACATCAATTTTTTAAAATGTTGCGAAATATGCTAAAACAGACACAAATTCATAGCATACAATCAGCATGTTTTCAGTTAATGGATTGTCGCAAACTGTTAAAAAAAACACACGAAAATGCATGTTTTAGAAGTAATACCTACGGCAAACCCAGGGGAACTCATTTTGAATCGTGAATGTAATGTCATAATCTCAGTTACATAACTATATATAATTCAGTTTATTGACATTTCACTCTCAAATGGTCAGTCTCCTGCATTATCCTCCCTTGAGTTCAACAAAATATTTCACTGTATGCGGGATAGGCTATACAAATAATCACAACACTGTCTATGTAAAACAATCTCCACACTTGTGGTTTAAATAAATAATGTGTGTCCATTACAATATATTTTATTTTTAGAGGTACACAAATTATTAGCCCAACAAAGATCAAAGAAATGTGCCGCTTTAAGAAAACAGTAGCACCTATGCCATTTTAATTTAAAACATGATAAGGACATGCACAAATTCATGTTGATCCATGCATGAGTTTTTGAGAGATATTCATGAAAGTTTGAGGACTCGACTTTTGGAGTGGACTACATTTGTGACCACAACAAGAACGCTGCAAATAAATATTTAAAGTGTAATAAATGATACGTAATAATTATGAGTATGTCTTGTAATATTTTTAATATCTGTTCAGGTAAATTATAAGTGAAACTTTACTGAAGAAATTGCTTGTAAAATAATATGAGCCAACAGGATAACATGTCAACTTATTACTCCAACCCTGCAACACCTGGCTATTCAAGAGAGATCAAAAAGACGGTTACCAGAGCGTTTATGGGAGTCTCCCAAGTGCTATGAAGTTGATTCTTAATTCAAGATTAACAGACAAATTATAAATGCAGACTCTAAGCTACCAGACTGGGATATTAGCCAGAGAACACCCGAGAAGACAAGCCACCCATGAAATGAGATGCTTGAGAAAGGCAAGGGTTCAAAACCAGAGGAGATAATGTGAGAAATGAGGAGGTTATAAGAACTATTGGAATAATACCCATCGTTTAAATTAACTCAGAAACAAAGACTGAAATGGTTTGGCCACCTATTGGGAATGAACTCAACTATGTCGGCACCCACAGTACACAGCAGGAATATGGGAATACTCAGATGGATCTAAGGAGACATTAACAGCCTAAAATGCCACAACAGCACATCATACAGGCAACTAAGTGCATCCTAGTTAGGCTACCTGCCATTCGTTTCACTACGATGTCTGGTGAGAAGCGGCAGATATTGATGAAAGAAGCAAACAATATGAAAATGAAACAAATATAAAAATACATTCTGGAAAAAAAGGTTTCCACTGAAACACTGCCATAGATGTCTGAAGCGAAAGGATTTCAGATATACTAGGTAAGTGTCTTTCTTATAAGGTGGGTCCGCCAGCTCACTTTCTTCATGAAAAAATTTTCAGCAAACCCCTAATTAGTTGCTATTTCTAATGGGAGCAGTGGGTATTCTTCTCTCCCCCCCCCCCCCCTCACCCGAAATAGGCGTTGGAACCCATATGCGGATCAGCGTTACTGTAACAAGACATTTTATGGCGCATACTGGCACCTTCGTTTGTATTAAAGACGATCTGCAATGAGTACCAGGACCTTCTTTTCTAGAAAAACCCTGCAAAACACACTACCCACTATTCCTTGTTACTTGTTGTCTGTATCGACATCCTAACCCAGGGTAGATCCACTGCCTCCCTAACAAATATGTTAAAAGATGTGCACGCAGAACTGAGTTGTGGAACAAGAATGAAGTCCAGAAGAGGACAAACAACCAGAACTTTCTGCTAGAGTTTACAGCCAGTGAATGCAAAAAAGACGAAACCTCATGCTTACATTTTTCTAAAGCACAAACTAAACAGGCGTATACTCAGCAAGACCTTGGTTCTGGAACCTAATTTGTTCTTGAAAGTTGTTCAGAAAATGGACCCCCCATCCCCCCGCCCCACCCCCTCCCACCATAAAGGATTAATGTTAAATGGATGCACTGTTTAT